ATAGCGGTTTAAAAAATACAAAACCAGAGCACACAAAAAAAACAAACAAACTAGGAAAACACAAAATAAGAAAAACTTGTCAAGATTGTTTTTGTGGCTTTTGTTTTTGTTTTGTTGTGTTTTTTCTGGTGAATCTTGTCGGGTTGTTTTTGGCGATTCTGTGTTTTGATTGTGTTTTTGTTTTTTATGTGTTTCATTTTTTGCTAGAATCAACTTTCTCTGTTGAAGCCGGTGTCAGACTACAAGGGCAAATGAACAGAATTTTGTGTGTATCCAACCAAATCTAAGCAGGACCACATCCAATCATAATTAAACCAGAAATGTATTCCAAGGAGGGGTGAGCCTGTCCCCCCCCCCATTCATACATTTTCGAACTTTCTTTTTCCTTTGATCCAAAAAATATGTAAGATAGTATTTGTTTGTATACAAGGACATACAAAAGGATTTGATTGGATGGTGTATGATGGTGTGTGTATCCAACCATATCCAACCATAGGTCCAACCATGTCTAAAGTCTAATCATATCGAACCCAGAAATTCAGAAAATGTATTCTAAGGAGGGGTGGGCCTGTCCCCCCTTCCTTTCATACATTTTTGGCTCTTCTTTTTCTCTCGAGCCAAAAATTACTGTAACGAATTTGTTTTGACCCTTTTTGTATACCAGGCTTTTGAGCCGAACAGCATAAAGAATACAGCGGTTTAAAAAATACAAAACCAGAGCACACAGAAAAAAAACACACTAGGAAAACGCAAAATAAGCAAAACTTGTCAATATTGTTTTTGTGGCTTTTGTTTTTTGATTTTGTTGTGTTTTTTTCTGGTGAATCTTGTCGGGTTGTGTTTGGCGATTCTGTGTTTTGATAGTGTTTTTGTTTTTTATGTGTTTCATTTTTTGCTAGAATCAACTTTCTCTGTTGAAGCCGGTGTCAGACTACAAGGGCAAATGAACAGAATTTTGTGTGTATCCAACCAAATCTAAGCAGGACCACATCCAATCATAATTAACCCAGAAATGTATTCCAAGGAGGGGTGAGCCTGTCCCCCCCATTCATACATTTTCGAACTTTTTTTCCCTTTGATCCAAAAAATATGGAAGATAGTATTTGTTTGTATACAAGGACATGCAAAAGGATTTGATTGGATGGTGTATGATGGTGTGTGTATCCAACCATATCCAACCATAGGTCCAACCATGTCTAAAGTCTAATCATATCGAACCCAGAAATTCAGAAAATGTATTCTAAGGAGGGGTGGGCCTGTCCCCCCTTCCTTTCATACAGTTTGACTCTTTTTTTTTCTCTCGAGCCAAAAATTACTGTAAGGAGTTTGTTTTGATCCTTTTTGTATACCAGGCTTTTGAGCCGAACAGCATAAAGAATATAGCGGTTTAAAAAATACAAAACCAGAGCACACAAAAACAAACAAACTAGGAAAACACAAAATAAGAAAAACTTGTCAAGATTGTTTTTGTGGCTTGTGTTTTTTGATTTTGGTGTGTTTGTTTCTGGTGAATCTTGTCGGGTTGTTTTTGGCGATTCTGTGTTTTGATTGTGTTTTTGTTTTTTATGTGTTTCATTTTTTGCTAGAATCAACTTTCTCTGTTGAAGCCGGTGTCAGACTACAAGGGCAAATGAACAGAATTTTGTGTGTATCCAACCAAATCTAAGCAGGACCACATCCAATCATAATTAACCCAGAAATGTATTCCAAGGAGGGGTGAGCCTGTCCCCCCCCATTCATACATTTTCGAACTTTCTTTTTTCTTTGAACCAAAAAAATATGTAAGATAGTATTTGTTTGTATACAAGGACATGCAAAAGGATTTGATTGGATGGTGTATGATGGTGTGTGTATCCAACCATATCCAACCATAGGTCCAACCATGTCTAAAGTCTAATCATATCGAACCCAGAAATTCAGAAAATGTATTCTAAGGAGGGGTGGGCCTGTCCCCCCTTCCTTTCATACATGTTTGACTCTTCTTTTTCTCTCGAGCCAAAAATTACTGTAAGGAGTTTGTTTTGATCCTTTTTGTATACCAGGCTTTTGAGCCGAACAACATAAAGAATATAGCGGTTTAAACAATACAAAACCAGAGCGCACAGAAAAAAAACAAACTAGGAAAACACAAAATAATCAAAACTTGTCAAGATTGTTTTTTGTGGCTTTTGTTTTTGATTTTGTTGTGTTTTTCTGGTGAATCTTGTCGGGTTGTTTTTGGCGATTCTGTGTTTTGATTGTGTTTTTGTTTTCTATGTGTGTCATTTTTTGCTAGAATCAACTTTCTCTGTTGAAGCCGGTGTCAGACTACAAGGGCAAATGAACAGAATTTTGTGTGTATCCAACCAAATCTAAGCAGGACCACATCCAATCATAATTAAACCAGAAATGTATTCCAAGGAGGGGTGAGCCTGTCCCCCCCCCATTCATACATTTTCGATCTTTTTCCTTTGATCCAAAAAATATGTAAGATAGTATTTGTTTGTATACAAGGACATACAAAAGGATTTGATTGGATGGTGTATGATGGTGTGTATATCCAACCATATCCAACCATAGGTCCAACCATGTCTAAAGTCTAATCATATCGAACCCAGAAATTCAGAAAATGTATTCTAAGGAGGGGTGGGCCTGTCCCCCCTTCCTTTCATACAGTTTGACTCTTTTTTTTTCTCTCGAGCCAAAAATTACTGTAAGGAGTTTGTTTGGATCCTTTTTGTATACCAGGCTTTTGAGCCGAACAGCATAAAGAATATAGCGGTTTAAAAAATACAAAACCAGAGCACACAAAAAAAACAAACAAACTAGGAAAACACAAAATAAGAAAAACTTGTCAAGATTGTTTTTGTGGCTTTTGTTTTTGATTTTGTTGTGTTTTTTCTGGTGAATCTTGTCGGGTTGTTTTTGGCGATTCTGTGTTTTGATTGTGTTTTTGTTTTCTATGTGTGTCATTTTTTGCTAGAATCAACTTTCTCTGTTGAAGCCGGTGTCAGACTACAAGGGCAAATGAACAGAATTTTGTGTGTATCCAACCAAATCTAAGCAGGACCACATCCAATCATAATTAACCCAGAAATGTATTCCAAGGAGGGGTGAGCCTGTCCCCCCCCCCATTCATACATTTTCGAACTTTCTATTTCCTTTGATCCAAAAAAATATGTAAGATAGTATTTGTTTGTATACAAGAACATACAAAAGGATTTGATTGGATGGTGTATGATGGTGTGTGTATCCAACCATATCCAACCATAGGTCCAACCATGTCTAAAGTCTAATCATATCGAACCCAGAAATTCAGAAAATGTATTCTAAGGAGGGGTGGGCCTGTCCCCCCTTCCTTTCATACATTTTTGACTCCTCTTTTTCTCTCGAGCTCGAGCCAAAAATTACTGTAAGGAGTTTGTTTTGATCCTTTTTGTATACCAGGCTTTTGAGCCGAACAACCTAAAGAATATAGCGGTTTAAAAAATACAAAACCAGAGCACACAGAAAAAAAACAAACTAGGAAAATACAAAATAATCAAAACTTGTCAAGATTGTTTTTGTGGCTTTTGTTTTTTGATTTTGTTGTGTGATTTTTTTTTCTGGTGAATCTTGCCAGGTTGTTTTTGGCGATCCCTTTTTCTGATTACAGATAAGTGGCATTTCGGGTATGCCAGGACATAAATAGAGCATATTGGGTGTTGTGCGTACCTCAGCCAAACACGTATAGAATGAATTCCAATGATGGGTGAGCCTGTCAAACCAATCATTCATACATCCAATGTACTCTGATGGAAGTTGATGGAAGTTGTACGACGTTGCATGTTATTTGAAAAGTCGTTCCCATGATTTCTGCTTGAAGAAAATCAACGGTGCCCCCCCTAGGTTTCATACATTTTAAGGTATCAGTCCATACTTCCAAAACAACACCCTGCCCCCCTACTTTCATACATTATAGAAAAATGAATAGCAGATGGCTGGGGCATCTCCCCCCTAGGTTTCATACATTATTGAGTTAATGTATGAAGCCCATGGGGGAACAGGGTTCCCCCATGGGCTTCATACTTTTCACATGCAATATCTGAATTGATGTCAAAAAATCGACGGTGTCCCCCCCTATGTTCATACATTGCAAAAAATGTATGAAGGGAAGGGGGGGTGTACAAAACCCCTGAGGAGTTAGGAAACAGAGTGGTGGGGGCAAATCCTCTGAGAAGCCCTGGCAAAAAATAGAGAGAGAGGTGTTAACTGGTAACTAAAACAACATATATTGAACCCTTGTGTGGCCCATTAGTCATTCCAGGGGGAAAAAGAGGATGAATGATGATGAATGCCCACCACTGGGTACATTAAATCCTTATTTAGACAAGAACGGATAGGAGCCTTGCATACCACAATGGTAATTTAACTATGGAAATCTACTGAGAACATGATGTGTGTCTTTCTTGATTTGATCGGTGAATGTAACTGATGTAAAACAGAAAATACTGAACCCATATTTAAAGGAACCAACAAAAAGGAGTTTTACATGTATACCACATTGGGAATGTAATTTTGAGATGCCCGATACCCTCTGGTAAAATAACAGTTTGTTATGGAAAATCACAATCTTTAAGAGGTAAATCAAACAACCAAATGGTCATTTTCAATAGCTATGTAAGGGCTACGTAAGGAGATATACCGTATACCCCCAAAATATGGCCTTACAGTATATGGATATATGGTGCAGTAGCTCCATTTTAGGATCCTGGAATTCCCCTTGAGTGGTGGGATATTTCCTGTACAGTGACTGGTGGGATGGCACCTCAAAATTTAACCCTCAATCATCAGTTTCCTGAGAAAAAAACATAAAATTGGGGTACCTACCAGTCTTGAGACACTCATCTCAACTAATTATATATCCTTATCTTTGTTTTGGATGATATTTTGGATTATTTTGGTTCAAGCCGTTTTATCCGCGTTCGCTACCACCCAGTTTGATGATTTTGTTGGTTAATCCAGCCATCTTTACCTACCAGGCTGGTGGTTCACCCGAGGTAGTGGAGAGTGAGGAGAGCGAGCGCCTGGATGAGACGCTGCGGCTGCGTTCCGAGATCGTGCGGATCAAAGCACAAGGCGCTGCGCTGGGTTTTTAGGGGGCCTAGGGGACGAATCGCTCGGAGGATCACCACTTACAAAATGGTTTGTAAATGGGTTTATATATACTGTAACCCAGTTTTATTATGTTTTATATGGGATAAGATGCGAATGGCCATAGTTGGTTCACCCATGTATAGATCGGACAACCCACGAAACTGGGACCAATCGGTTATGGGATGAACAATTGCAATGGGCTGGTCGTATTTTCCACAAAGCCGACATTGATCCTCAAAGAAGCTGCTGATTTCATGTTTTCAATGAAGCAACCATGGTTATTTCTCTGTAAACCTGCTGTGCCTGGTCTTGAAGTACAAGAAAGAACCAGGAAACACGCCACCAGTGTGTTTGCTATTTACCACGCTGAGTAGCTTGGACATGCTTATACAAAACCCTGCTGATGCATCAGGTCGATTCAGGTTGGGTCGCAGCAAGACATAGCAAGACAACCAGTTTAGTCAGTAAATGATCGACTAATTTGGGGGAACGGGTGAGGCTCCTACGCAAAGGGGCGGGGTACAGAAGAATAGGACATGGTCAAGCGCCAAGAGGTGATATTCGTACCAAGCAGGTTCCGAGAATGTCCCTAAAGTATCCTAAAGTACAGTATATGATTTGAGCTTCAAACACCCCTAGCGTTTTCTTTGAGCGCAAAAAAAGGTTTCTGGGTCTGACTCTTCGCGTTCTCAGCCAAGTGGCTTTCCTTTCATCTTGAAATGCATTGGTAGTCAAACATGAGGAAGACATGTTAATGGAGGTTTCCTACTATGGAGGTACCCCGAAATGATCTAAAGAAGATCATTTTAGTATTGAAACCCATGGTTTTGGGGATCCACCTATTTGTGAGAAATAAGAACATCATCCACAAAAGATGTACTTACAGTTTTGGTCCCTCTTGGTATTGGAACATGATGGAACATTGGAACGGAAAATCACCAGGAATAGGCGCATCATCTACAGCTGTTTTGCCGTTGGAGGATGAAATTTGGTAACCATTCGCTGTCCAAGTGTTTGAACCCGCATCATGCTGGTCCTCAGTTATGTTCATTTTTTACGAGTTGAAATCCCAAATGGTGCAAATGTCATTGCGCAATTTTGTTGGTTAAATCATTATTGCCAGTGAAATCGCCATTGTTATCAGGTGAGAAGCTGGAGGGCGTGCAAGATGCCTTGAAGGCTTCCAAGCAGCCAATGGAGTACTGTGGTTCCATCAAGAAGCAGGACCCGGCGTTTTTGCTGAGTTGATGGTGGGGGGAAGGGATGCATTTTTCGCATTTGCTGGGCGCAAAAAGCGCAAACAAGTCATGGAAATGGCCCGGTCGTATCAAGGCAGGGCTCAGGGATCACTGGCAGGCGGCAAGTACCGAAATATCACGCCAAGAACTATGGACGTCGAGACGGCCATGCTTTACGGCCAGAGGCTGGGGTAACCAGCCCGGCACATCCATGGAGAAAACGCTTGGGTGATTGCCGGTGTAAATGTAAGCAGATACAAGCAGTAAATCGTACACTGTTTACTGTTGACTATTACTATAAGAATAGATGTACATAGATATACTGTTTGCGTTTATTTGTAGATGACTCAGGGCAACAAATTCCTGCCATGACCTAAGGCCCCAACTCTTTCACCGTGGGTTTGCATGGGTTCGCCCTCGCAGGTTGAAGAGTGCCGCCAAGAAAGGACACTTTTTTTTTGGCCGTGCGATTTGTTTCGTACAGACCCCCGGCAAGCCCTTTGGGAAAATCATTGGGAATATACCGATACTGAAAAAGCAATCCGATGAAGTGTTAGAACGCGGTTTTCTTTCAAACATCGGCGTGGTTGTCTTTTTGGATGTACAGTACATGTTTCGTTTCTTGGCACGGTAGAGATTAGCAACGTGTTGTTGAGCCCCAAGGAAAGGATGACATGAAGAAAGAACAAGACCGACAGAAGAAGGAATTGCCACGCGGCCCAGCCATTGCTTTCACGATGGTTGTCTACTTGAGAGAGGATCTCATCATCAAAGCCAGACTGCCAATCAGACTGCTGATCAGACTGCCAATCAGACCCTATAGAAGAACGAAACAACTTACTTGCAAGTGGACACGTGGGCACTCAAATTTGTTGCCCTAGTAAACCTGAGGCTGTCTCAGTCAAGTGAACCTGTAACCACTGCTATACTAAGGGTTTGAGAAGCCCCGAGGCAAGTCTTAACTTTATTCATGATTTGTTGATGTTGGTACATTTCAGTGGTAGGTAAATGGTAGATATGGAAGTGGTAGTTTATCCCAATACATGCGCAATAAGTCTCATTCTTGTTTGCTGGTGGTTCAGTTCGTGTGGGTAGAAGCGGATAGAATGAGATAAGTTTCCCAAAGGTGAACCCTCGCAAGAACGAGGGTCTAGCTTTGGGAAACTTATCTCATTCTATCCGCTTCTACCCACACGAACTGCTTGGCCGATACCATACATAATTTATGCTAGAATTCGCCTTTCTGAGATCACGATTTGTAGCCATTCCATTGACCCTGGGTTGGTTGAACCCCTATCCCAAACTCTCCAGAAACTATCCCAAGACTTGTTGTCTAGTACTGATTCATTTATTTTGGAGTCCCGCATTGGGGTGTTTAAAGTTTAATGTCAATGTAACTTAATGTACAATGTAAGGGGATGGAACTATATCTCAAAAGTACTGCGCATCGCACAGATCCCAATAGATGGGCTGGAAAGTCCTGGATCTTAAGAACCCCGGTGATCGTAATACCTGAGTCCAAGGCTTATCCCATTGGTGAACTGACCTCAGTTGCTAACTTACGAGAAACGTTTGATGATCCTCCAAGTATAAGCCGTCATGATCATTTTACCATAAAAATCACATTAAACCCTATAGAATCACATTAAATCCCACCATTTCCCATTAAATCCCATCATTTTTCCAGGATCTTATCCCAGCTCTGTCCCACTGGAACCATCTCCCAACCGCCCCGTTCAGGAACGCTGTGCGCCAAGCGACGGCGAAGGCGGCAGGACAGCTGCACGTCATGGTGCACAAACTACTGCTGCCACGGCCGGCAGGGCCGGCACGGCGGGTGGCTAGGAGGTTGCCGGTTGGGCAATTTCACGGCGCCGTTGTGGGTTTCATGGGCAACTGATGGTCATTTTCTGCTGATTAATGGGGATACACCTGGGGGTGCAGTTGAGGTTATTAATGAATATAACTAATAACCGGTTTGTTTATAGCTATTCCAACAACTGGATTGTATACCTTTTTCAGTGGAAGGTTCCGGACCCCAAAATGGAGGTACTAAGGCCATCCAAGGCCACATTTGCTGGGCATATTTTCTGAACGGCGTGAATCATGGGTCATGGGCCTTATGTATGGTAGGGTGCCTCTAATTTAGGTTCCTGAAATGACCATTGATGATTTTTTGAGATGAAAGTCAACTAAGGTATTTGAAATGGTCACCAGCCGATGGAAATCTCTTAGCATCAAGAGAATTGGGAATATCCAAAAATCCCCCGACAGTAAAATGGGAATGACCACCATATCCACCCAGGGTTTCTTGAGTGTTGACATTATATTTTGGGGAGATGGATTCAAGATGGATTCAAGGAATTCATCAACATCAATCTGGGCAAATTATACAGCAACCCCACTAGATGATGGTTAACATACGGGGAACCAACCGCGAAACGTTCCAGCTAGCAAGGTGGGTATTGTGGAGGCACTGATGTTTGCATCTTCAAAAATATGGAGCTGTTGTCTCTGGAGATTGCCATTTCTTGGCAGTTTTCCAAGGTACCTCATAGCAACAGGCATGTTTGAGCTATTCTTTTGACTTACATGTGGCCTCCTTAGGTTTTCTTTGATGGGTTAGCCTTTTCCTTGGCATTGCTTGTCTCGCTTTTCCTCCTCAGAAATCAAAAGAAACTCAAAGTAAGCCGAGAGAAAGGACATCTCAGAACAAGGCAACAAATCCAAGCAGCAGCCCAGATCTAAACCTAAGGAAACGAAAGAACATGTAAGGAAAAGGCAAGAACCCCCTGAAGAAAACCTAAGGAAGTCTTTCAGATCTAAGGACAGAAGGAAACCGCAGGACACTGACAGAAAAAACAACGAACCTTCAATGTTTGCAGCTGCAGATCATGACAGACATTGCAACTTCAGTGATGGGAAAAAGTGGGAAAACATTTATAAGAAAACAGAAGGCCGTCTAAGGAAAAGGCAGGTTGATCAAAGGAAACCATAGGATTATGTAGCGTTACAGAACGCGTGCATCAGTGACGTTGCTGATGAGTTCCTACGCTTTTTTTTGGGATCATTTGTGGCGAGCTAAAGATGGCATGTTTTCGGAGGAAAAAGCCGGAACCTTGTCGAGTAGAGAAATCTTTGTATATCCGACTGCAATGACCTCTTCCTTGGGTGGCATTTACGAGATCAACCATGTTTCAAGTAGAGCTGGGAAAGTGTGGATGCCTGGGCAGCCTCTAAAAGAATGGTGAACTATGTCTAAGCGGTCTAAGTTTGATGTCTTGTCAGTAGTCTTGGTCAATATTACATGCACTCAGCGCAGTGCAACACATTATCGAAAACACACGATTTCCTCATAAACACGATTTACACATGATAGATTTTCCAAATGAAGGTCACTGGCAGGTCATTGACGTCAAGGGTTGTCCCAATACAGCAAGGACTGGAAAACAACGCCCACCTTCAGCATATTTGGCTCTTGCAGATGGCGTGGCGGCGGCTCGAGAGGTGCCAAGAGAGGAAGTGCCACAGGAAGTGCGTGAGGAATTGCATGACGAAGGGCCAAGAGCAAGGACCCCCGATTTGGGAATTTGAGGGGATGCAACATGTTGAAATGGTGGTTTAAAGTAAAGATGTTGAAAAAGTGGAACAGTACGACCTCGTCCCAGACGACCTCATGAGTTTCCGCGCGTCGGTTGGTGAAATCTCTTCGGGCTTGCCAGAAAAACCTTGGATTGGGCAAAGAAGCTATTGGTTTTGCCCAAAAATCTCTTCTCTCTAGAATCTGCTCAGCTAAAAATGAGGTGTTATGTCATGTTTTGTCTTTTTTCTCGGGGCAATGGTGGATTGATCAAGTGATAAACCAAACAATGAATCCCTCAGTGTGACCATAGATGGGCGGTAACCGGTAACCATCCTCAGACGGGATGTGCCCCAGGAGCCCTGCTGATCCGCCCCATGGATGGCTCCGTCAGATCAAAGGGGCCCTATGGCCGTGGCAGAAATCGTAGCAGTTTTTTTAGGTCCCAGAACCGGCCGGTTGGTGCCAGAGTTCAGTCAGAAATGGAAAGAGAACAATGATGGAACCAACAACAAGTGGGAGTATCACAAACCATATGTTTTTTTTGGGTGATTGTTTTCAAGCAAGTATCATTTATCACAGGGATTGGGGATGATTCACGTCGATGCTTGGAACAGGCTGTCCTCACCAACCTGTCAAGTTCGTTGGAACCGCTTTACCTGCGTGGAGCGAAATTCAAAATTAATGCCTCTAGAGACTAGGCGCGTGTCACCTGGGAAGAGGCTGGCTGCAAATGAAAAAGGCACCCGGAAGAACTGGCCGACTGCCATCCAAAGAGGAGAAGAGCGTTGAAGCTCTACATCAATGTAGATGTTGAGAAGTACCCGGCAACTCAAAGTCCTGTTCCCAGTGGAAGTCTAACCAAGGACTTAAGGACCAGCTATTACAAGAGATTTTAAGAATTTTCAATATACGCATCGCCGCTGACTCAAGTAGATACCATATTGACTGGCTCTCATCAAGGGTACAGTATGTCCGATATTGCCCCAGAACTATTGCATATCCTTCTGTCTCTTTGAATTGGGAACCTGCTAATATTGTGTAATCCGCAAATCTGACAAGTCACACAACCCCCGTTGAGGGGCATGACTCCTTCAATGCAACCCATGCGAGCAATGGCTCAGAAGGACGGTAGGCACAGCAGCAATGCCATCGCACCGGATGTGGCAGGGAGCCTCAGTGCTCACAGATCGGCTGGTCGTTTATTTTCTCGGTTCCCATCCCTGCTGTGCAATTGAAGACAATTTACATACTGTAAGTAGTCCAATTATTCGAATCTAACTTTAGAGTTTCCAACCTGGAGTTTCATTCATGGCCATACCCAACTCCCAGCCCAAATGTCCTGAGAGGATGCAAGAACCCAGTCCAAAACTGCATAAGTAATATAAGTATGGCTCAGAGGCCTGGGAGTCCATATAATCGAGTGAATTCTGGGATACCTGCAATGATGAGGCCCATTCTGCTCAAACCCCGAGGGAACTTGTGTGATCTTGTCTGTAGTTCTAATCGCATCGCATCATAATATATAATCATATATATATATGTGATAATGTATAACTTTAAACATAGTTAATTATGTGACTTGTTATAACTTAGACTTATAACTTATAACAGATATAAACTATATTTTCAATATTCAACATATATAACATCCTACAACTTTTCATTGATACGTTTCAATACATTGTATATGCATTATAAACACACGTAGTGACACAATTACGTAGGTACATAAGGATTGCGGGTCCATGCAATGTTCAAGTCTTCGCCAAATGTTTGGTACACCTGAAGCCTTCTTATGTCCTCCATGGCCCCGTTCGCATCTACCCATTGAATGAATCCATTGAAAATGGCATGTCAGTAGCCTGAATGCTCAGAAGGGTCATTTTGGTGAAAAAAAACCTAATATTCTCATCATATTTCCCGTATTCTTGTTGGTGAAATCCCAATAAATCCCGGTCTGTTTGGTAGTTCGACCACTCGGAAGCACGGCTCGCTGGAACGTTCCTCACGGCCCAAGGTCCCAGGCCCGAATGGGCGACCAAGATTTTTCGAGGGGCGAACAAAAAGTGCCATGATTTTAAGGAGTAAACAAAACCATCATGAAAAAACATGAAATCATCAATGTGGGCTATTTTTGGATGTTTTTTTTTTGGTTGTTGGTGATTATACTAGACCTGTTGTGGCCTTTTGTATATCGTCCGTTTTTGAAGGGCTGACGATTTTTGAGACAAATCCGGATGTTTAAAATGATGGGGGATTTGCCAAGGATTTTTAGTTCAAACGAGCAGCTGAGGAGGGGTCACAGTTTCACAGTTCCAGACAGAGTTTCGCAGTCTTCTGAAGCCATGGCGGTTGCTGGGTATGGCCTTCGATTGACCACCTATGGCCGTCTATCAACCACCCCAGATGATGAGGCCCGAAACTTAGCTACTCCTCAAACCAGGAGAGAGGCTCGGAACGCACATTTCCATAGCATCCATAGGATCCTGGGCAGGATCGTGGGAATCGTGGGATCTCCGCAATGCAAGCTGCTCCTGGTGTGCTTAGCCCTAGCTTTCGCTGTGGCCATGGCGGTGAGGAACCTCCAAATCATCAATGACCCGGCTCACCCAGAAATTTTCCAAAAATGGCTGCCGTGGTGGTGTGGGCCAGGCCTCACACCTGAGGCCTTGGTCTGGTCTGATTGGACCCTGGCCATCATCCTCCCACTCCTTGGTGCCCTTGGCACGGCATCCTTTATCCTGCGCTTGAGAAGGTCAAAGAATTTCAATATGGAAATGATTAGCCTCCTGGCGTCCCTCATCATTTTCGATCAGCTCTCGGTGGAGGGGAGGTGGTATGGCCTCGCCGAGGTGCCGCCCACTGAGGAGCTGCAGCTTAGGGTGATTGAAGTGTCTTGGGTGATGCACTTGGGTCTCCTTCTGTTGACGTTGTGGAAGCTGCGACTTCTTGGGTGGAGGATGGCGGCATGGTCTTCTTCTTTGACGTGGAGCTTTTGGTGGTGGCTTCGCACGTTGCCAGCCTTGCTGAAACTGGGATGGACTCCGTGGATCGGGGCAATTAGGATTGGCAGCTGGCCATTTCTGATCCTTGCCACGGGGTTGCAGGCATGGGCGTTATGGGCGGCGGCAGACGAAGCATTCCAATTTCGAGAGATTCGGAAGAACTGGGCAGAGCAAGTTGATCGAGAGGTCTTCTTTCTTCGATGTGCTGCAGTTCTTAGCATTTGGGATTCAGTCTCTATGCCACTAGCGGAGCATTTCATTGTTCCTATGATTGGCTTTGGCTGGCACCTCGCTTTGGATGCCTTTTTCATGCTTGTCACGATGCACGTACTTGGATATGAGGCCGACACTCTGGACGATATAGGCGACATGGCAAGACTCCAGGGCAAGCGAATCGCTTTCCCAGGGAAGGTGAACCCAGAAGCCAAGGATTGCATTGTAAGCTTCCCGGGCAAGTATAGCAAAGACCCTTGGCATCCCTTGGCCATAATCTGAGTTTCCCGTGATTTCCTCGAAAATGCGATGAATGATGCCATAGAATTTCATTCCAGGGAGTCCTGAAACTTGATTGCAGCTCCTGTCCTTTGACTCTGATATGCTTGTCAAGTCATGCAAGACGTTTGTTACAAGTGTCCCAAAAGCTCTGGTTAGGCTAAATTCTATCTATTAGGTTGTTTTCTGACTATTAGTTAATTTTTGTTTTTACCTATTAGGTAAAACAACTGTTTTACCTAATAGTCAGAATGATCAAATAACATTTTTTCCTTAGGTTATTTCTATGAATAGCCTTTTTTTCTGTTTGTTGTTTTGATGAGTAAGCTACGTTTTTTTTTAAAAAATTGTTTCTTTGAAAAACGGTTTTTTTAATCAACAACCTCAAAGATGCTCAGCATTTTGTGAATATAATTGGAAGCACAAACTCGAAGAATATCAAAACAGGCCACAAAAGAAAACAAACGTAACTTTAACTTGATGCCTTTTTCAAGTTTAGGTTGAAAAAATGGTTCAAGATCTTTTGTGAGGCCTTGGGAGTTTCTGGATGCCCGTGGTTTCACTGGTAGTGATGCTTGGCTAGATCAAATACAAGAGCATCAGCCTAGGAATGGCACCTATGTTGGGGCTATCCTGCACATTTGTGGCATGTGTATTTGATAGACCTGGTTGGAAGCTGTATTCGAAACCACGTCATGGGCCTTTGGTGGGCTTATGTTGGGTCACTTGGTGGCTTTGCTGGGCCTATGTTCGGCCTATGTTGAGCAAAAAGATGCCACCATTTGGGCTTATGTTCAGCCAATTTCAACCCAGACCTAAGAAAAAATAGGTCTGGGTTGCGGAAAACCGTCCTTTTTGGGCCTATCCTGTGCCAAGTTGGGGGTATGTTGGGCCTATCTTGCAGCAATTGGCACGTCCACTGCTTGGGCTACACGTCGCAATTTTACATTGTATAAAGTTAAATTTGACATGACGCATTTTTTGGCTTAAAATGCGGCTGTCCAGCAACTTGCAAAGACTATTTTGTTTGGATGGGCAAACCAACAAGGGATGGAAACACAAAGCAACGTATATATATATATATATTATATTATATATATATTATACATATATATATATATATATTCATTTATCTTTTTATTGATCTAGACCTATATGTTTATATCTATATATAAACATGTGCTGCAACAATGGCAATGGACAGTTTTTCTGGGTGCCAAACCAGCACAGGATGAAAAACAAAACTATCATGATTTTCAAGTTTTGTAAACAACATACTTTGACTTAAAACCATGCAAGACCAAACACCCAAGATGATAAATCAACCATTTAAAAAAACAAAGACTGAAAATATAAATTGCAAACTGCAGTGTTTTGGAAAATCAATGAAAAATCAATGGGATACATTTAAATTCATTGGTGGTCATGGGTGTTCATGTGCGTTCATGGGCGCTCACCGGTGTTCATGTTTGTTTGATGTTTTTTTGTTCCATCCATCCATTTATTGAGATAAACATAGGTTTAAGAGGAGGTCCCTGAGTGATTGTTCAACCTTGGACTGGATTGTTTTCGGTTTTTTTCCAATACATTTATATAAAGGTTGGAGAACCCCAAGTGCTTGGCAAACCCTGGGTTTGAAAAACACTTTGCGAAATCACGTTAATGATGGGCAGCAACAATCTTATAAACCAAAACATGTCAAGGTTCGGATGGCCTTTCACTTGTAGTGGTAGGAACAAATCCATCAAGTGCTTGGTGCTTGGTGACGATTGGATGTATTTAAAGTTTCCTTTGGTATAGAATGCACGACACAAAATTGTTGTTTTTACTTCATGCGCCGCCTTTGGAATGCAACAGCTGTGCCTTAGCGAACCTGACCCATCACTGAGGCGAGTGTCCAGCCTTGACATTTATATTCATGACAATTCATCACAAAACATCCAAACCCCAAGGTTTGCCAATGACTTGGGATGATCAGCCTTTCTATTTCTGAAGGCAGTTAAACGCACATTTTGCCTATAATTTGGGGTCCCCAGCTTTTAAATTTATTGAAAAGCAAGGCCAACCCAGAGCCAATGTATCACTAAAGGATTGTTTTTCCGGAATCTATGTTTGAAAAAAAGGCGTTGCAACCCACAGTCAGCCAATCACTTGGGCATTGCTGGATGTCAAATTTATGCCCTGAAAAAGTTGATCCAATTGTTTTGCATGACTTGGGGGGCTTCAGCCATCAATTTCATTGGCTTAAACATGGAAAAATCTATCCAAGGAAGTGTGTGTTTGACATTGTTTTTTTTCAAAAATACATGTTCTTTAGGAAAAAAAACGTTTGTTTCTTCAAAAACAACGGTATTTTTGAAAAAAATGCAAGTGTTTTTTGAAAACAACAATGTTTTTTTTTGAAAAAAAACATGTTTTTGGTCAAATTGTAAGGTATCGAGGTGTAAGTTTGGTGTAAGTTTACATCAAACTTACACTTCATGGGGTGTAAGTTTACACCAAACTTACATCAAACTTACACTTGTGAAGTGTAAGTTTGGTGTAAACTTACACCCTTGAAGTGTAAGTTTACTCCAAACTTACACTGGCAAGTGTAAGTTTACACTTGTAAATGTAAGTTTGATGTAAACTTACACTTGCCAGTGTAAGTTTGGAGTAAACTTACACTTCAAGGGTGTAAGTTTTGGTGTAAACTTACACCCCATGAAGTGTAAGTTTGATGTAAACTTACACCAAACTTCCACCTCAATACCTTACAATTTGACCAAAACCATGTTTTTTTTCAAAAAAACATTGTTGTTTTCAAAAAAAACGCTTGTTTTTTTCAAAAATACCGTTGTTTTTGGAGAAAAACGTTTTTTTAAAGAAAGTGTCATCTGTTTGAGAGAAAAAAACTGTCAAACACACACTTCCTTGGATAGATTTTTCCATGTTTAAGCCAATGAAATTGATGGCTGAAGCCCCCCAAGTCATGCAAAACAATTGGATCAACTTTTTCAGGGCATAAATTTGACATCCAGCAATGCCCAAGTGATTGACTGACTGTGGGTTGCAATGCCTTTTTTTCAAACATAGATTCCGGAAAAACAATCCTTTAGTGATACATTGGCTCTGGGTTGGCCTTGCTTTTCAATAAATTTAAAGGCTGGGGACCCCAAATTATAGGTAAAATGCGCGTTTAACTGCCTTCAGGAATAGAAAGGCTGATCATCCCACGTCATTGGCAAATCTTGGGGTCTGGGGATTTTTTGGGGGACACTCCTTAGTGATGGGTCGGGGTCGCTAAGGCACAGTTGCTGCACTCCAAAGGCGGCGCATTAAGCAAAACCACCAGTTTTGTGTCCTGAATTTTTTCTACAACCAATCCTTGCAGAGCATTTGGTCAAATATGTTTTTGCTCACCACTTGTTTTTACAGGTAAAACCCCATCCAACCTGTGGTTTTTGTTTATAAAAATTATTGCCGCCCAGCGTTCACACAGATTTCACAAAATGCGTTTCTCTTGGTGTTCTCCAGCCTGTGGTTTATTACCAATCCCGTCCAAAGCTGAACAGTCACTCAGGGACCTCCATTTCAATCCCATTTTTTCAAGATCAAAAAATGCGTGGGGTTTTAAAAACAATCAAACAATCAAACAATCAAACAAACAAACAACCAAACAACCAAACAACCAAGCAAAAACAGATGAACACCAGTGAGCACCCATGAACGCACATGAAGCCCCAGGAGCACCCATGAATTCCAATGTATTCTGCGATTTTTCGTGAAATCCGTTTTTCCACACCAATGCAGCTTGCAAATTATATGGTCAACCTTTGTTTTCACATTTGTTGATTTACCATCTTGGGCGTTTGGTTTTGCACGTTTTTAATTCATGGAAGTTTTGTTTTAAACAATTGTTAAAAATAATGTTTGTTTCCCTCCATTCTGTGCTGGTTTGGCGCCCAGAAAAAAAACTGTCCATTGCCAGTGTTGCAGCACATGTCTATATGTAGATATACATGCATCGATTTTAAAAAAATACGTAAATAGATAAAATGAAATAAACAAATAAATAAATAGAAAAAACAAATCAATATGTAGAAAAACACATATATACACATACACATACATTGCTGTTTTGTTTCCATCCCCTGTTGGCTTGTTCCATCCAAACAAAATATTCCACTGAAATATTTGAATGTTGCTGGACAGCCTCATTTTAAGCCAAAAAATGCGTCATGTCAAATTTAACTTTATACAATGTAAAATTGCGACGTGTAGCCCAAGCAGTGGATGTGCCAATTGCTGCAAGATAGGCCCAACATACCCCCAACTTGGCACAGGATAGGCCCAATATGGCTGGGGCATGGCCCGAAAAGGGCGGTTTTCCTCAACCCAGACCTAATTTTTCTTAGGTTTGGGTTGAAATTGGCTGAACATAAGCCCAAATGGCGGCATCTTTTTGCTCAACATAGGCCGAACATAGGCCCAGCAGAGCCACCAAGTGACCCAACATAAGCCCACCAAAGGCCCATGACATGGTTTCGAATACAGCTTCCACCCAAGTCTATCAAATATATACACATGCCAAAAATGTGCAGGATAGCCCCAACATAGGTGCCATTCCTAGGCTGATGCTCTTGTATTTGATCTAGCCAAGCATCACTACCAGTGAAACCGCGGGCATCCAGAAACTCCCAAGGCTTCAAAATCTTGAACCATTTTTCAACCTAAACTTGAAAAAGACATCAAGTTACGCTTGTTTTCTTGTGTGACCTGTTTTGATATTCTTCGAATTTTTGCTTCCAATTATAGTCACAAAATGCTGAGCATCTTTGAGGTTGTTGATAAAAAAAGTCTGTTTTTCAAAGAAACAATTTGAAAAAAAGAACGTAGCTTTTTCATCAAAACAACAAACAGAAAAAAAGGCTATTCATATAAATAACCTAAAGGAAAAATGTTATTCATATAAATAACCTATTTGGGCAAAAAGACAAACAACCTAATAGTCAAGAAATGAAATAACCTAATATAATCCCGATGGGATACATAGAATATGCCCGATTTCAACCCTACGGGTGTGGACAGAAAAAAAAAACTTAGAATATTTGGGGTAGAAATATTTGGGGTAGAATTTTGGAGTGCATAACAGTGCCAAAGCAAATACCATAGGAATAATGATATTCCCATATCGAAAACATGTGTGAAACCAAGCAGATTGAACATTTTTTGGGTTCTGGGTAATTTTCTTCATAGTTCTACGACACCAGTCGTGGGGGGTACCCTTTGGTGAGCCTGAAAAACTTATTTTTTTAATACAATATAAAAAGAAACTGGTCATTTCGGGTGACCTGTTTTTTTGTTGAAACGTTGTAGTTTAGGAACTTCAGACGTCCAGGGTTGCTACTCCCCAAAGGGAATTACATATATGATATATACCCTTTTACATGAAAGAGACCCAATTCCTTGCAGAACTACATACATAGAATACAGGTCCCAAGTGAAAATATTCATCATTTTTTTTGAGGATCACCACCCAATTCCATTGGTTTTCATTGCAAAATAGTTTTTTTTTTCATAGTTCTACGACACCAGTCGTGGGGGGTACCCTTCGGTGAGCCTGAAAAACTCATTTTTTTAATACAATATAAAAAGAAACTGGTCATTTCGGGGGACCTGTTTTTTTGTTGAAACGTTGTAGTTTAGGAACTTCAGACATCCAGGGTTGCTACTTGCCAAAGGGAATTACGGATATGATACATACCCTTATACATGAAAGAGACCCAATTCCTTGCAGAACTACATACATAGAATACAGGTCCCAAGTGAAAATATTCATCATTTTTTTTGAGGATCACCACCCAATTCCATTGGTTTTCATTGCAAAATAGTTTTTTTTTCATAGTTCTACGACACCAGTTGTGGGGGGTACCCTTCGGTGAGCCTGAAAAACTCATTTTTTTAATACAATATAAAAAGAAACTGGTCATTTCGGGGGACCTGTTTTTTTGTTGAAACGTTGTAGTTTAGGAACTTCAGACATCCAGGGTTGCTACTTGCCAAAGGGAATTACGGATATGATACATACCCTTATACATGGAAGAGACCCAATTCCTTGCAGAACTACATACATAGAATATAGGTCCCCAGTGAACATATGAATCATTTTTTTGAGGAACACCACCGAATTCCATTGGTTTTCATTGCAAAATAGTTTTTTTTCATCGTTCTACGACACCAGTCGTGGGGGGTACCCTTCGGTGAGCCTGAAAAACTCATTTTTTAAATACAATATAAAAAGAAACTGGTCATTTCGGGTGACCGGTTTTGTTGTTGAAACGTTGTAGTTTAGGAACTTTAGACATCCAGGGTTGCTACTCCCCAAAGGGAATCACATATATGATATATCCCTTATACATGAAAGAGACCCAATTCCTTGCAGAACTACATACATAGAATACAGGTCCCAAGTGAAAATATTCATCAATTTTTTGAGGAACACCACCCAATTCCATTGGTTTTCATTGCAAAATAGTTTTTTTTCATAGTTCTACGACACCAGTCGTGGGGGGTACCCTTCGGTGAGCCTGAAAAAACCATTTTTTAATACAATATAAAAAGAAACTTGGTCATTTCGGGGGACCTGTTTTTTTGTTGAAACGTTGTAGTTTAGGAACTTCAGACATCCAGGGTTGCTACTTGCCAAAGGGAATTACGGATATGATACATACCCTTATACATGAAAGAGACCCAATTCCTTGCAGAACTACATACATAGAATACAGGTCCCAAGTGAAAATATTCATCAATTTTTTTGAGGATCACCACCCAATTCCATTGGTTTTCATTGCAAAATATTTTTTTTTTCATAGTTCTACGACACCAGTCGTGGGGGGTACCCTTCGGTGAGCCTGAAAAACTTATTTTTTAAATACAATATAAAAAAAATGTCATTTCGGGTGACCGGTTTTTTTGTTGAAACGTTGTAGTTTAGGAACTTCAGACATCCAGGGTTGCTACTCCCCAAAGGGAATTACATATATGATATATACCCTTATACATGGAAGAGACCCAACTCCTTGCAGAACTACATACATAGAATATAGATCCCCAGTGAACATATTCATTATTTTTTCTGAGGATCACCACCGAATTCCATTGGTTTTCATTGCAAAATAGTTTTTTTCTTCATAGTTCTACGACACCAGTCGTGGGGGGTACCCTTCGGTGAACCTGAAAAATTCATGTTTTTAAATGCAATATAAAAAGAAATTGATCATTTCGGGATACGTTCTAGATTAGGAACATTTCTGCTCACCAAAGCAAATTACGTATATAATATATACCCTTATACATGACTGAGACCCAATTCCTTGCAGAACTACATACATAGAATATAGGTCCCCATTGAAAATATTCATCAATTTTTTGAGGAACACCACCCAATTCCATTGGTTTTCATTGCAAAATAGGATCCCCCCACGAGTTGCCAAATTTAAAGCAATCATTGTACCGACAAATGAACCATGTTAAACCCTATTCTATGTATGTATCCCTGCAGCTGAAAACATGGACCAGGATCATGCACACATATGAAACCGATTGGTCACGTCCCTTTGCGGGAATTGCTTGAATCACGGGCGGCTGCAGAAATCCAGCAAAACCTGAGATTTTTTTTTTCCCTGATCAAAATGGATAGCCGGAAATATTCTATGTATAGGTTTTTTTTTCGATTCCGGAAGATGCTTTTATTCTATGTATAGGTTTTTTTGACCGATTCCGGAAGATGCTTCTGGAGGCCGAAATTATCGATTCTGTACTCTATGTATGCCATCGAGATTATAGATAGAAAGTAACCTTCAAAATTGAAACAACCTAATAGTTAGAAATTAGCCTAACAGGAGCTTTTGGGGTTTTACTTTTTGGGATATTTTGGATGGCCTAGAGGGCGGCATTGAAGTTGCATGTGGCACGACCAGCATTTGTGGTTCCAGCATAGGTCGGCAGAGAGCAGCATGACGTTTATTGAGACACTCAGCGGTCCTTGATCCAAGTGCAACCCAAGCTAGGCAAAAAACATATCCTTGACATCATTGAAGTTTCTAGAAAACAATGTTTTTCTCCTGAGGTCCTCATCAAGTGCTCAGTAAATCACCGACAAATCTTTATTACATCCTCCAAAAACATCACTTGTTCCTGAAACGACCATGAAATCCTGATTTTATCTTCGAACCAAACATATTTTTGAACCAGGGGCATCATCATCATCATCATCATGATCATCATCATCATCATCATCATTTTATTAGTTGAACAATTGTAGTTTCCTTCTTTACTGGCGAAACATCGTCATTTAATTTTCATTCTCCTAAAATCATTTTGAAACAATTTGAAACCTTCATTAACGCATCACGTTTTGAATGGCACATGCAGATTCGATGATATTTTCATTACCTGCGCACAAAGTTTTGAGAATCAGGATGCGTGAGGAAATGATGATTTTGGTGATGTTCCAGAATGAGGATTAGATTGGGATGAAAGGGGAAACATGGGTCACAATATGATGCTTTCATATGCTTTCCATTTTGTGGCTCGCAGAAATTCTCATAATAGTAGATATTTTAGAAGCCACAGGCTAGCGGCCACAAGTGAGTACCATTTTCTGGAGCGGTTGCTGTTTGCTCAGCCGTGGCCGTTACCCAGAACACCCCAAAGTAAGTCTAAGCTGTAAACTGTGAAGACTGTCGGGCTACATTATACTTTAAATCACCTTAAACTTTAAGTTTATACACACAGAAAACAACCCCATGGATGCCATCACCCTGCTTTAGTTTTGACATGTTTTGAAGTTTCCGGGAGATGTCGATCACAAGCTGGAGCGCCAAGGAGTGGGATGATGCGGTTAAGGAAGCACAGGGACAGTCAAGCCTCTGCAGCTTGGCCTGTGTTTTCTTAACCGATAAGCAGAGCGGGCCCGGCGACCACGTTGAAGATCCTGAAGGATGCGGAAGTTGTTTCTGCCAAGCACTCTATGGGAACGTGGATCCAGCAGCCTACCTCAGCGCAGTCGAGGAGGACCTGACGGAACAAGAGTTGCTATTCAAGAAAAGCGATGCTGAGGCGATGGGCCAGGTTCTCCTCATTCGGCAAGCAGAAAGTGATGCTTCCTGGACCGCGAGGAAGAAAGAAGCACTCCTGAAAGCGGCCGCCAAATGCAAGGAGAACCGCTACCGCGCGCCCTGGGGATGCCGTTGGTTTGCCGACTGGAAGGAGAACGTGGACAAAGCCGGTCAGCAAGGGCAAAAGTTTCACGTTTTCTACTTTGAAGGGAAAGTGGGATGTGGGAAAATCGCTTGGGAGGACAGGGCAGGGTTTGACAAGAATCGCATTGAATTGCAGAAGAAGCAACTAGCCAAAAAACATCCAACAAGATCAAGCAAAATCTAAAGTCCAAACTGAAACATGTTTTTTGTTGTTGCTTTGGTATGCTTTGGCCATTTTGCCCCGACCAGAATAACCGGACAACCTTGCAGGACCTCAAAGATGAGACGAAACTGCAGGAGGTTCGCGATAGCACGGGCCTAGGCAAGTCGCAAACCGCAGAAGTCGCATGGTTAGATCGCTTGCACATCCCCTACGAGGAGCACGATGTGGGCGACTTCTACAGATTTATTCAGCAACATCAGAACAACAATAGGTGATGCCTACGGCCTACGGATCCGAGTTTCATGAGTGATGCCTGTAAGGCGTCCGGTTTTCACGGCTTAGGGTCTTCGGGTCAACGCGGGAAAAAAACAGTTCCAAAGAGTGTTGAGGATGGAAGTGTGAGCCACAGTCTGATGATTCACACTCTAGTTTCATTCTTCAAGAACCACATAAAAACATTGGATGGCAAGAGTTCATGCAGGCACAGCATATCACTTTAAACTTTAGTATCTTTAGTTTTTGTTGATTTATGCCCAATTCTCCACCACGGGAGTTCGGGTCCGGGTGTTCGGAACGGCATGGGATGGAGGATCATCCCGCTTAGCAGCAGGTTAATCCAAAAGTCATTCCATTTATAGATGAGTCACATATCCGTTTGTATAAATACAATGTACAGACATAGCATATATTAATTATTAGACCTGGGATTTGTTAACTGAGGGTTTCAGCCACCTACGATCCATGACATGGTCCTCACCGTGGGTCACAGCACCAAGGCTGCGATCGCGCCGGAATGCGACTTCTGCGGCCGGAAGGGGTTGGTCCGTGTTGGTTCCCATCTCGGGGCCCTCACAAGACACCAGTTTCAACAAACCACCTTTAGTAACGAATGGTATGCTAATGGATTGACTTGGCACGTGAATTCTGAATGCGCACGGGAAATATCAGCTTTCGATGGTTTCAATGGTCTTGTGGACATGGATGGCAAGGAATTGTGCCCAAGAAATCTAAGAAGCAGGGGGGCAAACATGTCGCTTCTCAGGAATATGATCTTTCAATATAGTGGTGGATCTAGGCCTTTTTGACGCCCAAATTTTTGACGCCCAAAGATCTATTTACTTCTTCATTTAGTGGTAGACCGTCTGACTGGATAGACCGTCTGACCGGATACCATCCAAATCGGCCAGCCCATCTTTGGGGGAACAAAAAGGCAACATTTTGCCATCAGAACTGCTGTAAATGGCCCATTGTCACCTCAAACAAACCCGCAGGAAGTGCACAACTGCGATCCTTCAGAACTTCTTCTCGCAAGCCGGACCGGGCCTTCCCTTGCTGGGACCGGGGGGAAGTATGGCATGTCTTTGGTGATATAGTTTTTTTTTGTGGCCGATCGCAGATTTCACGTGTGCTGTTTGGCGGAATACGGCTCAGAGTGGCCATGGACTAAGCAAACTTTACGAGGTCTTGGTTTGGTTTGACATAAATGACATAAACATCCACATGTACATACGCACATGTGCCAACAACCAGCAGTTTATCGCCTGGTTTCTTTTAAATTTCTAAATTAAGAGTCCTTCGCCTATGAATTGGAATCATGCCATCAGGTTGTGATGGACTAGCACACATCAGTGGGTTGTTTCTTGGGGCATCTTGTTACCTCATTTGACCCAGCTCCGTACAATTCCTGAAGCCTTGAATCTTGATCCTCCAGGAACCTTGATGTTGATCCGGCAGATGATCAGAGGGTTTTGGGATGGCGCGCCAAGCGGGTCGGTGCCAGATTTCAGCCGAAAAATTGGGAAGAACAGCTACACAACAAGTGGGAATTGGCGCTTAGACCGCCGTGCCACCAATCCAAAAATTTTTGGCGATTGTTTTCACAATTGGCTTCTTTATCATGCAGATTTGGGATGATTGAACCAGATCATGGGACAGGCTGCGGCTGTGAGCACCAACCTATAGAATTTAGACGTGTGTCGCGAATGCAAAAGCTGGCAGTCTTGACGATTCTGGAGACCAAAGAAAGGGCGTGTCAAATCATCCTGCCACCTTTGCCTTCAGCACTAAGTACCAGACGATGCAACTCTTGCTCGTATATTTGAGACGCGGTTGCAGAAGCACAGTTTTTTGTGCGAGTACTGCTCTATATCAACCCAATATTACAGATGTTGACCGGCCTCCCGGAATTGAAAGATATTGGAAGCCTTGTTCCCTGTTGAAGTCTGTGAAACTAAGGTGTTTGACATAGTCAGTTGACTTGGTCGGAACCGTGCAGCCATACTGTGCGCTAATCAAAGAGATATATATATATATATGGAACATACCCATCAATCCTTCGACCCAACTTGGTTCAACTTGGTTGTCATGGTTTGCGGCTGTCCCCTCGATTGTTCAAGACATGCTAAGATTTAATGACTGAGGGCCAAGAGCCTCAGGGGTATGTCCCATGATTCTTGGGGACTCAGTGCAGTGGGGTTTTCTCAATGTTCCACCAATACTTTGAGGCCCATCCCTGCCATTGCCTACGTAATACCCAGCTGTGAAGGGCATGCCATATACTGCGCCCATTCTGTTCCCATTGTTGGTTAAATCCCATGTTTGATCGCTGATGATAGTTGATTTCCGCCATGGAACTTTACCGTTGAACAGCCATGGTGCCGGGTGCTTTTCATTGGCTCAGAGGAAGGTAGCTCAGCAATGCCATGATATGACCACAGGTGGTAGGGGCCTCAGTGCTCCCCAAATGGGGGGATGTTATCAATCCGGTGGATATAAATGAAGATTCCCATTATAGGATGGATGACCATACCGCCATTGCCATGTTTGTCTCAGTATGTGGCGCGCCCCGAATTTGCTGTTCTAATGAGTTATGATATGCCATGGGGGTTTGGGGTTCCATTTTGTGAGACAGCCCCATGTTATATCATGTAATATCATGTAATATCAATGATCTAAATCTAACCATGCTTGTTTTCCACATTTCCCTAGGGTAAATGATTCCCTTTAAATGGATCAGTCCCGCAATTTCCAGCCAGCCCCAAGGTCATGGCACGCAGTGCCCGGGGCGACAAGTGCTCCTTGTGCGGCATGGACAGAGCTTGTGACCTGGATGCAACGGCTGCAGCCAGGTTTGGCGGCGAAATGGGTGACCAAGGGACTAACTATGGATCTATATCTATATAAATATATAATATATAATTATATATATATATATATTTGGGTAAAGACATGGTAAAAGAATTGGGCTTCCTGCATTTTTTCAGCAAACTAATCCATTGCATCTTGAAACGTTGGAACATTCCAGTTATTTTAACTGCTGTACCATAATTTAAGCTACTCGTTTGCGGCAGCTCTCAACTCCATTTATGGTATACTTACCTATATATTGCACAATATTTTGATATAATTTGGGAATATTCCTTTCATTTGCTGTTTGAATGAGTTAACAAGAAACCTCATCGAATTATGATAGTGTATCCAGGCGTATGTTTATATTACAGTAAATGTATATATATATATAAATAATATTAAAAATATATGTAGACACATGTATAGTTAAGTAACTACATGTGGGGGATAAGCTTGGAACTATTCCATGCACGGGGCAGCCATGTGGGCCAGTTGTAAAAGGGCCCCCACGACGCGGTTCCTCGACGAAGGCACAACGCCCACCACGACGTCGACGAAGTTCCACGCGACCCGATGCTATCGGAGCTGGGCCATGCGCAGGCGGCGAGACGCTTGGCAGATGCCGAAACAGTGGAATTATTGGTATGGTATGTACACTTGGTATATACACATCATTGCATGACATATGATTTATCATTTCATATCATATCATATCATATATCTATCTATCTATCTATCTATTTATCTATCTATTTATCTATCCATCCATCCATCCATCCATCCATCTACCCACATACATACTGTTAATATTATTGCAGGGGGGGTTGTGTGATGATTGGCTTTATTTTTGCATACTGTTGTTTCTTTTGGAGATACTTATGGTCCTTTTTTTATGGGGGTATTCAACTATTGGCATATTATTGTATACTACTCAGTCATATGGGATCATGAGGTTGATAAAAATCCTTCACAATCATTGATAAATAATTAGTGTAAGGACCTTTGATATATTTGGCTATAGTTGGCACGCCTTGGGTAAACTTTGGTGGTAAACCTTTGATTGGAATAAAGTGAGTCATTTTTTGATACGTTGTGGTATAGTTTTACTGTCGACGCATCTTTATACAATCAACCTTCTGCCTTACATGATGAGGTATCCAGTGCTCAGCCCTTTTTGATATTTCAGGGTATCTAAGATTGGCATAAATTCAAACATCACAGGGAGTACCCAAAGGGGGGTATGTCAGATGACCTTCGTTAGAGGTAAGTTAAAATGGAACTTTGTGTAGGTCTAGAGTTGATTGGGGTCACGGGGCTCATTTTGCTTAGCATGCATAAGTGACCGAAAATGCAACCTAGCTGGGTCGACTGATGAGTCAGTTGTTCCTTTTTCCGCCATAACTGGAGTATATTTGACCTTTAATTTGAAAGCAAACAAATATCTAACCACAACTGGTTTTCAAATAACCACCATTTTACTGACCAGCTCATTGTCTGCACGGTATCTAAGCTTGGCCACGTCCCAGGGTTCACTTCACATCGATTTAGCCAAGGCCTGCGCAGTGTGCCTTTTGTGAGTGCTGGCTGCGAACTGCTGGTGGTGTCACCCTTGAGCTGCTTGGTGATGGACTGATGGGTTTGCTTGGTGCTTTCAGGTATCATTCTTCAATGGGACAGTGAAAGCGTAGGGGGGTTCCATGGGACAAATTATTTCAACTCGGGAACATATTTGGGTTTGTTTGAAAATAGCGGAAAACCGTCCATCTATGTACTTTTTTTTGAATTTTCATTGTCACTATATAAATGGCAATAACTGGGAGTTATACACCATTTTCATACGCACGCATATTTCAATTGTTTCCGCTGGGATGATGATCCCCCAATGCCTGCCGGGGGTTTCATCATGTTTGACCAGCCATATCAAGGGAAAATGACGGGATAGAAATGGATAGATGGAACAAAAATATATTAACCAGGAAGTTCCAAATGGATTCAATCGGCTGATGGTTTTCCAACAAAATCATGAGAATTTCACCGGTCTCGGGCATTTCACCGGCAAGTTCGATGCCCTTTTTGAACAGAGAGACTAAAAATTTGGCATGGACTAATGTAGGTTGATTACTAGATATTACTAGTATGATCCATCCTAGCTGGGAAGGATAATGAAAGAAACAGCGACACAATTTTTGTAGTTGGCAACTGTTAGAATCTCCAGGATTGGTTTCAATAGCCTCCTTTTTCGCGGCTATACTGATTGAATGAGAATGAAGGGATATGAGAATCGTCAACATTACCATGACACATGAGTGATGAGCGACTGACCATCAAAGAACTGATGAATTTTACCCATGTTCAACTCTATTTCCCAATTGCTCAAGTTCATTGTTCGGGGGGATTAAAAATCATCATACCTCCATGAAGATCCACTAATTTTTTTGGATTTGAACACAAAATCCTTTAAAACATTAAACATCATCAATGAATCAACAAAAATCCTCACAGAAATCATCGAAAATCCTTGGGTCCTCAGTTTTCCTCGGAACATTTCGCCGAGGCCGCGCCATTCAGACGGCCTCGGCCGTCTTCGGGGAGCTGCCGATGTGCCGCACGGTGCTGACGCCGCTGCACTCGGAGAGCGCCTTGGGTGACCCATGGAAGGATGGCGATTGAACCCACAAACCATGGCAAAACATAGGGATTTAACAGGATTTACTGGTTGGTGGTTTGGAACATTTTTTTCCCATATATTGGGAATAATTTATCATCCCAACTGACTAATATTTTTCAGAGGGTTTAAAACCACCAGCCGGTATGGAGTTAGTTATGTTAGTTAACAGAGTGGTGGGGGAACCATTATTAACCATTGTTAAAATGACTCTGGTTAACCATTGGAACCGTTGTTATCAGGATTTAACCATGGAGTTAACAGAGTGGTGGGGGCAAATCCTCTGAGAAGCCTGGGGGAAAACAAGGATGAATGATGATGAACGCCCACCACTGGGTACATTAAATCCTTATTTAGACAAGAACGGATAGGAACCTTGCATATCACAATGGTAATTTAACTGTGGAAATGGAAATCTACTGAGAACATGATGGGGTATGTGTGTCTTTCTTGATTTGATTGGTGAATGTAACTGATGTAAAACAGAAAATATCGGACCCATATTTAAAGGAACCAAAAATAGGAGTTTTACATGTATACTACATTGGGAATGTAATTTTGAGATACCCTCTGGTAAAATAACAATTTGTTACGGAAAATCACAATCTTTAAGAGGTAAATCAAACAACCAAATGGTCATTTTCAATAGCTATGTAAGGGCTATGTAAGGAGATATGCCGTATACCCCCAAAATATGGCCTTACAGTATATGGTGCAGTAGCTCCATTTTAGGATCCTGGATTTCCCCTTGAGTGGTGGGATATTTCCTGTACAGTGATTGGTGGGATGGCACCTCAAAATTTAACCCTCAATCATCAGTTTTCTGAAAACCATAAAATTGGGGTACCTACCAGTCTTGAGACACTCATCTCAACTAAAGATATATCCTTATCTTTGTTTTGGATGATATTTTGGATTATTTTGGTTCAAGCTTTTCCCAAACGCGTTCGCTTTTACCACATTTTGATCAATTTTGGTTATAATCAAGCCATCTTTACCTACCAGGCTGGTGGTTCACCCGAGGTAGTGGAGAGTGAGGAGAGCGAGCGCCTGGATGAGACGCTGCGGCTGCCTTCCGAGATCGTGCGGATCAAAGCACAAGGCGCTGCGGCGCTGGGTTTTCCGGGGGGACGAATCTCTTGGAGGATCACCACTTACAAAATTGTTTGTAAATGGGTATATATGTATATATAGATATTGTAAAGTTATAGCAGAACCATAGTTATCATCCATCCCATTTAGAAAATTGTTGGCAAATGGGTTTTGCTGTAACCCAGTTTTATTATGTTTTATATGGGATATTATGGGATAAACCACTTAATAAGTAGTGAACAGATGTGAATGGCCATAGTTGGTTCACCCATTTATAGATCGGACAGCCCATACGAAACGGGGAGACCAATCGGTCATGGGATGAACATCTGGAGTTTCCCGGTTTCGAAGGTGTAAGCAGCCAACATGGATCAACATTGATTTATCACAGAAAATATGGGAGATGAAACAATATGAGATACTTCATTGCATGGGCTGGTCGTATTTTCCACAAAGCCGACATTGGTCCTCAAAGAAGCTGCTGATTTCATGTTTTCAATGAAGCAACCATGGTTATTCCTCTGTAAACCATTTACCACTCTGAGTAGCTTGGACATGCTTATACAAAACCCTGCTGATGAATCAGGTAGATTCAGGTTGGGTTGCAGCAAGACATAGCAAGACAACCAGTTTAGTCAGTAAATGATCGACTAATTTGGGGGAACGGGTGAGGCTCCTACGCAAAGGGGCGGGGTACAGAAGAATAGGGCATGGTCAAGCGCCAAGGGGTGATAAACCAAGCAGGTTCCGAGAATGTCCCTAAAGTATCCTAAAGTACCATGATTTGAGTTTCAAACACCCCTTAGCGTTTTCTTTGACAAAAAAAAGGTTTCTTGGTCTGACTCTTCGCGTTCTCAGCCAAGTGGCTTTCCTTTCGTTGAAATGCATTGGTAGTCAAACATGAGGAAGACATGTTAATGGAGGTTTCCTACAATGGAGGTACACCGAAATCATCTAAAGAAGATCATTTTGGTCTTGGGGGTCCACCTATTTTGAGAAACCCCAATGCAACCACCATATGAGCAAGAGGCTAAACTCTTCGTGTAGGAGGTATGTATTCGAGCGCTCTCGTATGTAAAAATATGCATCTTGATATGTAAAACGATATAGTGAAGTCCCAAAAACGATAACCTGGGAATCATATTATATGTAAAAGCATTGTGGGAAGTGAAGGGGTTGTGTACATGACATGATGGTGGATACCTGTTCTATAAGCATGTAGATCATCTAGGCTCTCAGTTGTGGGGTACACGTCATGCCCAGCTCACACTACGGAAGATGTGCAAAAGTATGCTGACACTCTTGATCTAGGCCAATTTCTTTATTTGTATCCAATCACTGAATCACGTATTGTTATGTGGTAACTAGCTGGATTTGGATGCTCTTTTTTGTCTCGCCATTGTTCAAGCCTTTCGGATGAGTTCCGCGCTTTCATGCAAGCAGTGACGATGACAACAGGTATCCTTTCCAACTTTCCTTGGTTCATGCCATTTTCCCAAAAATGTTTCCCTCTTTGAACGATAACGAAAACGATAACTAAACGATAACCATTTCTTGACAAAATGTCCTTCGCTGATGGATGGCCCAGATGCCAAAAGATTCTTGAGACCTTTGCCGTTTAATATTATCACTTGCTCATTGCGATCTTTTCGCTGCTATGCATATTCTTTTGCAGCGCTCCACTGCTTTAGTCAATCCCGGTTCATCTCAGGCACAACTGCACCTGCAGGTCCGGTTTGACGATCTTTATCCTAGATGAAGATAGCCAAGGCAAAGGCGTTGGACCAGGTCGATGGTTTGCTGCGCAGACGCTGGCGAGTGAATGAAAGGCATGGAGCATGTCGCTGTGAGAGCTCACCCGGGTTTCCTCCAAAAAAACTGAATTCAAAACTTGTTTCTGAGCTGGAGAAAGGATGGTGCAACTGTGATTTGCAGTTGCGTTGGCAGGTATCACACCACACCCACCATACAGTTGAAGCGCTGGAAAAGAAAGCGCAGGGCAGTCAAAGATGCCCAAGACGCGAAGTGGAGGTGTAAAAAGGCTTTCCGCATGCAGTTTGCCAGGGGATGCGGATGATGCAATCAGGATATACTGTAAAACGATATAGTGAAGTCCCAAAAACGATAGCTTTGCCCCGAGATCGCATTTTTCAATTGAGGTTTTGCCGATCGCTCATATGGAATGAGAACATCATCCACAAAAGATGTACTTACAGTTTTGGTCCCTGTTGGTAATGGAACATGGGAACGGAAAATCGCCAGGAATAGGCACATCATCTAACCATTCGCTGTCCTGTTTGTTTTTAGTCTTTGAATCCCCATCCCATGCTGCTGGTCCTCAGTTATGTTCATGTTTTGCGAAATCCCAAATGGTGCAAATGTCATTGCGCAATTTTGTTGGTTAAATCATGTTAAATCATTATTGCCGGTGAAGTCGCCATTGTTACCAGGTGAGAAGCTGGAGGGCGTGCAAGATGCCTTGAAAGGCTTCCAAGCAGCCAATGGAGTGCGGTGGTTCCATCAAGAAGCAGGACCCGGCGTTTCCGCTGAGTCGATGGTGGGAAGGGATGCATTTTTCTTGGGCAAAACGACCTGGTGAATGGTTGATGGGTGGATGCTTCATTTATTTGAACGCCTGTAATGTAAGAATATATACGCTACCGCATAATGAACATTTCATCAGGTCCTGATCAGGGTATCTGAGATTAGCAATGTCCTGAGATGCAGCATGACAACCAGTCATTTGATGCTGATGCCGGATCATGCTTTGAGGGCTTATTCAGACTGCATTTTGAGAACTGGAGATCTGAATACTCCATGTGAATACGGAGGCATGCAAAGTTGATCGGATTTACCTTACTGCTTATGTAATATATTAAACGTAGTGGTTTTGATTTTCCGTGCCCATTTGGGCGCAAAATGCGCAGAGAAAGTCATGGAAATGGCCCGGTCGTATCAAGGCCAGGGCTCAGGGATCATCAGGGATCACTGGCAGGCAGCAAGTACCGAAATATCACGCCAAGAACCATGGACGTCGAGACGGCCATGCTCTACGGCCAGAGGCCGGGGGAGAAAACCAGCCAGGCTCATGCATGTGGAGAAAACTCTTGGGTGATTGCTGGGGTAAATGTAAGCAGATACAAGCAGTAAATCGTACACTGTTTTCTGTTGACTATTACTTTAAGAATAGATGTACTATTTGCATATTTGCATCTATTTGTAGATGACTCAGGGCAACAAATTCCTGCCACGACCTAAGGCCCCAACTCTTTCACCGTGGGTGGGCAGTTGAAGAGTGCCGCCAAGAAAGGACACCCGGCAACCCCTTTGGGAAAATCATTGGGAATAGGCCTCACTGAAAAAGCAATCCGATGAAGTGTTAGAACGTGCTTTTCTTTCAAGCATCGGCGTGGTTGTCTTTTTGGATGTACATGTTTCGTTCTTGGGTAGAGATTTAGGAAGCTGTTGCTTAGGGATTATTCCTGGGCCACTTGAGCCAGGAAAGGATGACATGAAGAAAGAACAAGACCGACAGAAGAAGGAATTGCCACGCGGCCCAGTCATTGCTTTCACGATGGTTTGCTGAAACATCCCCAGAATCGGATCAGAAAATCTGCAAGAAAGTCCTGTGCTAACTGGTCATAACTATTATCTCCCGTACATTTCCCTCAGCCCAATGAAACATTATATACATCACTATAAGAACAGTGAAAACTACAATTATTGGGGCAAAATCACATCATGTGTATATTTTGCCGGTTTCATACATTTAGCATGACCCTCGATAGAAACGACATTCTAAGTGTATGATGATCACTGCTTGGAAACCTGAACGTCATTCTAAGTTCCACTGGAGGACTATAATTATCCCATGCGTGGGCAGAGGTGCAGCTTAAAGCATCCTCCACAGCTTTTTTGCTCTCTCTCCCCCTCGGCGACAATATGTTACTTCGCCCATAAGTATCATAAGTGGGGGGAACAAAAGGTGGGGACATGTGAATTCGTTGCACTTGGTCTACTTATGTCCACTTTAGAGGATCTCATTATCAAAGCCAGACTGCCAATCAGACTCTATAGAAGAACGAAACAACTTACTTGCAAGTGGACACGTGGGCACTCAAATTGGTTGCCCTAAGTAAACCTGAGGCTGTCTCAGCCAAGTGAACCTGTAACCACTGCTATACCAAGGGTTTGAGAAGCCTCGAGGCAAGTCTCAACTTTATCTATGATTTGTCAATATTGGTACATTTCAGTGGTAGGTAAATGGTAGATATGGTAGTGGTAGTTTATCCCAATACATGCGCAATAAGTCTCATTCTTGTTTGCTGGTGGTTCATAAGCCGTTGGTAGACCCTCATTCTTGCGAGGGTTCACCTTTGAGAAACTTATCTCATTCTATCCGCTTCTACCCCCATGAACTGATTCGTTGATACCATTTATACATAATTTATGCTAAATTTTGCTTTTCCGAGATCACGATTTGTAGCCATTCCATTGACCCTGGGCTGGTTGAACCCCTATCCCAGACTCTCCCGAATGTATCCCAAGACTTGTTGTCTAGTACTGATTCATTCATTTTGGAGTCCCGCATTGGGGTGTTTAAAGTTTAGTGTCAATGTAACTTAATGTACAATGTAAGGGGATGGAGCTATATCTCAAAAGTACTGCGCATCGCACAGATCCCAAGAGATGGGCTGGAAAGTCCCGCATCTTAAGCTGGGACAGTTGGAGGATCATCCCATGAATATCCACGAACCGTAAGTGGTTAAGAACCCTGGCGATCGTAATACCCTGAGTCCAAGGCTTATCCGGTGAACTGACCTCAGTTGCTAACTTCTGAGAAACGTGTGGTGATCCCCCAAGTAGAAGCCGTCATGATCATTTTACCATAAAAATCGCATTAAACCCTAAAAGAATCACATTAAATCCCACCATTTCCCATTAAATCCCACTATTTTTCAGGATCTTATCCCAGCTCTGTCGCCACTGGAACCATCTCCCAACCGCCCCGTTCAGGAACGCTGTGCGCCAAGCGATGGCGAAGGCGGCAGGACAGCTGCACGTCATGGTGCACGAACTACTGCTGCCACAGCCGGCACAGCGGGTGGCTAGGAGGCTGTCGCTTGGGCAATTTCGCGGCGCCGGTGTGGGTTTCATGGGTAATTCATGGTCATTTTCTGCTGATTAATGGGGGTATACCTGCGGGTGCAGTTGGGGTTATTCATGAATATAACTAATTATATAATTTCACCGGTTTGTTTATAGCTATTCCAACAGCTGGGCTGTATACCTTTTTTAGTGGAAGTTTCAGGCCCTAAAATCTATCCAAGGCCACATTTACTGGGAATATTTTCTGAACGGCGTGAATCATGGGCCTTATGTATGGTAGGTACCTCTAATTTAGGTTCCTGAAATGACCATTGATTATTTTTTGAGATGGAAGCCAACTAAGGTATTTGAAATGGCCACCAGCCGATGGAAATCTCTTAGCATCAAGAGAATTGGGAATATCCAAAAAAATTCCCGACAATAAAATGGGAATGACCCCCACCATATCCACCCAGGGTTTCTTCAGTGTTGACATTATATTTTGGGGAGATGGATTCAAGGAATTCATCAACATCAATCTGGGCAAATGATATAGCGACCCCACTAGATGATGGTTAACATGCTGGGAACATCCCCACCCCCTTAACCTAGCTTTTTTGGGGGGGACCCTACTATATGTAACTTACTTTTTCGGGATGTTTTTAGGGGGGGTTAATTGTAATTTAAAATCTCTAAGGTACCAGAAATTCAGGTTTTGGAAGGGTGAAAAATGTAAGTTCTGACCCCCCTAGGTATGGTCCTGGTCAAAGCAATTTCAAGGTATTCCCCAGGAATGCACCACACACGTAGTGATCTATGGAAACGGGGGCGGGGGAAAATGTAACTTTTTGGTTTTTTCTAGGTTGTACATTCTGTTGTGCATTCTTTCCAGCAATGCCTTTGGACATTTTGGTCTTGGAAAATGTAAGTTGATGATATTGAGGTGCAGGTTCCACTGCAAAAATGCAGGTTTTGAAGACCTTGCAACAGGGATCTTACATTTTTTGGTCCCTAGGATTCCCTGGGAATTCCTTGAGATGGCAGCCGAATTGGCTTTCATGTAACCTGCCAATATCATTTTTGGTTGTAATGTTTTATAGATTTTATAGATTTTTCAGAGATGTTCTTGGATGTTCTGTGGTATTTCTTGATGTTTTTCTGTTTATCTATGTTTTTTTTGGTAATCCTGGCACCGACCTTGTTATAACTGTTATGTTTACCTCTTCCTTTTATCCCATGAGGGCCCAATGTTTTGTGACGTCCCAAGAAGTAATTTACATTTTTTGAAAAATGGAGGCTTCCAGAGAAATAACAACTTCAAAAATGTAAGTTACATTTAGGAAGGTTTTACCTGAAAAATGTAATATTGCATTTTTCAGGTCCCTCCAAATTTCAGAGGGACCTACCCTAAATGTAAGTTACATTTTGATTGTATGGGTTTTTCACAAAATGTAAGTTACATTTTCGATGGTTTTACCTACCCTAAATGTAAGTTACATTTTGGGAAGGTCCCCCCCTGCTAGAAGGGTAGGGATCTGGGAACCAATTGCGAAACGTTCAAGCCAGCAAGGTGAGTATTGTGGAGGCACTGATGTTTGCATCTTCAAAAATATGGAGCTGTTGTCTCTGGAGATTGCCATTTCTTGGCAGTTTTCCAAGGTACCTCATAGCAACATATTCTTTTGGCTTACATGTGGCCTCCTTAGATTTTCTTTGATGGGTTAGCCTTTTCCTTGCCATTGCTTGTCTCGCTTTTCCTCCTCAGAAATCAACAGAAACTCAAAGTAAGCCGAGAGAAAGGACATCTCAGAACAGTGCAACAAATTCAAGCAGCAGCCCAGATCTAAATCTAAGGAAACGAAAGAACATGTAAGGAAAAGGCAAGAACCCCCAGAAGAAAACCTAAGGAAGTCTTTCAGATATAAGGACAGAAGGAAACCGCAGGACACTGACAGAAAAAACAACGAACCTTCTATGTTTGCAGCTGCAGATCATGACAGACATTGCAATTTCAGTGATGGGAAAAAGTGGGAACACATTTTTAAGAAAACATAAGGCCGTCTAAGGAAAAGGCAGGTTGATCAAAGGAAAACATAGGATTATGTAGCGTAGCCTGCTTTACAGAACGCGTTCATCAGTGACGTTGCTGACGAGTTCCTACGCTTTTTTTTAAGGAACATGTCGATCATTTTGAAGTGATGGTGGCGAACTAAAGATGGCATGTTTTCGGAGGAAAAGCCGGTACCTTGTCGAGTAGAGGAATCTTTGTATATCCGACTGCAATGACCTTTTTCTTGGGTGGCATTTACGAGATCAACCATGTTTCAAGTAGAGCTGGGAAAGTGTGGATGCCTGGGCAGCCTCTAAAAAATTGGTGAACTATGTCTAAGTTTGATGTCTTGTCAGTAGTCACTCAGTAGTCTTGGTCAATACATGCACTCAGCGCAGTGCAACACATTATCGAAAACACACGGTTTCCTCATAAACACGATCTACAAATGATAGATTTTCCAAATGAAGGTCACTGGCAGGTCATCGACTTCAAGGGTTGTCCCAACACACCAAGGACTGGAAAACAACGCCCACCTCCAGCATATTTGGCTCTTGCAGACGGCGTGGCGGCGGCTCGAGAGGTGCCAAGAGAGGAAGTGCCACAGGAAGCGCGTGAGGAATTGCATGACGAAGGGCCAAGAGCAAGGACCCCCGATTTGGGAATTTGAGGGGATGCAACATCATGTTGAAATGGTGGTTTAAAGTAAAGATGTTGAAAAAGTGGAACAGTACGACCTCGTCCCGGACGACCTCATGTGTTTCCGCGTTTCGGTTGGTGAAATCTCTTTGGGCTTGTCAGAAAAACCTTGGATTGGGTAAAGAAGCTAATGGTTTTGCCCAAAAATCTCTTCTTTCTAGAATCTGCTCAGCTAAAAATGAAGTGTTATGTCATGTTTTGTCTATTTTCTCGGGGCAATGGTGGCATTGATTAAGTGATAAAGCAAACAATGAATCCCTCAGTGTGACCATAGATGGGCGGTAACCGGTAACCATCCTCAGACGGGATGTGCCCCAGGAGCCCTGCTGATCCGCCCCATGGGTGGCTCCGTCAGATCAAAGGGGCCCTATGGCCGTGGCAGCCGTAGCATTTTTTTAGGTGCCAGAACCGGCCGGTTGGTGCCAGAGTTCAGTCAGAAATGGAAAGAGAACATTGATGGAACCAACAAGAAGTGGGAGTATCACGAACCATATGTTTGTTTGGGGGTGATTGTTTTCAAGCAAGTATCATTTGTATTCATTTATCACAGGGATTGGGGATGATTGACGTCGATGCTTGGAACAGGCTGTCCTCACCAACCTGTCAAGTTCGTTGGAACCGCTTTACCTGCGTGGAGCGAAATTCAAAATTAATGCCTCTAGAGACTAGGCGCGTGTCACCTGGGAAGAGGCTGGCTGCAAATGAAAAAGGCACCCGGAACTGGCCGACTGCCATCCTTGCCCATTGGAGCTGCAGCCAGATTCCAAGGTCCCACCAGAAAGAACGGCGGGAGTATGAGGTGATTCAACCCTTGGCGCTTGGGCCAACATATCGATCGCCAGATGTTTGCCCATCTTATGTGGCATTTCGAAGAGCGTTGAAACTCTACATCAATGTAGATGTTGAGAAGTACCCGGCAACTCAAAGTCTTGTTCCCAGTGGAAGTCTACAAAATTACGGTGTTATTGTAGGACCTTGACATCCTTGAGAACCCAAGGACTTAAGGACCAGCCATTACAAGAGGTTTGAAGAATTTTCAATATACGCATCGCCGCTGACTCAATTAGATACCACATTGACTGGCTTTCATCAAGGGTACAGTATGCCCGATATTACCCCAGAACTATTGCATATCCTTCTGTCTCTTTGAATTGGGAATCTGCTAATATTGTGTAATGCGCAAATCTGACAAGTCACACAACCCCTGTTGAGGGGCATGACTTCTTCAATACAAACCATGCGAGCAATGGCTCAGAGGGACGGTAGGCACAGCAGCAATGCAATGGCACCACAGGATGTGGCAGGGAGCCTCAGTGCTCACAGATTGGCTGGTCGTTTATTTTTTTCGGTTCCCATCCCTGCTGTGCAACTGAAGACAATTTAAATATTGTAAGTAGTCTAATTCTCAAATCTAACTTTAGAGTTTCCAACCTGGAGTTTCACTCATGGCCGTACCCAACTCCCAGCCCAAATGTCTTGGATGCAAGAACCCAGTCCAAAACCTCATAAGTATGGCTCAGAGGCCCGGGAGTCCACATAATCGAGTGAATTCTGGGATATCTGCAATGATGAGGCCCATTCTGCTCACACCCCAAGGGAACTTGTGTGATCTTGTGTGTAGTTCTAATCGCATCGCATCATGCTACGTATAGAATATGTATATATGTATATATATGAATAACTTTAAACATATTTAATTATTTGACCTGTTATAACTTAGACTTATAACATGATATATTTTCAATATTAAACATATATATATATAACATCCTACAACTTTTCATTGATGCGTTTTAATACAGTGTATATGCATTATAAACACACTTCGTGACACAATTACGTAGGTATATAAGGATTGCGGGTCCATGCAATGTTCAAGTCTTCGCCAAATGTTTGGTACACCTGAGGCCCTCTTATGTCCTCCATGGCCCCGTTCGCATCTACTGATTGAATGAATCCATTGAAATGGCATTTCAGTAGCCTGAATGCTCAGAAGGGTCATTTTGCTGTAAAAAAAAACATACATATTCCGAATATTCCATATTCCCATCATATTTCCCGTATTCTTGTTGGTGAAATCCCAATAAATCCTGTATGTTTGGTAGTTCGACCAGCACGGCTCGCTGGAACGTTCCTCACGGCCCAAGGTCCCAGGCCCAAATGTGCGACCAAGATTTTTCGAGGGGCGAACAAAAAGTGCCATGATTTTAAGGAGTAAACAAAACCATCATGAAAAAACATGAAATCATCAATGTGGGCTATTTTTGGATGTTTTTTTTGGTTGTTGGTGATTATACTAGACCTGTTGTGGCCTTTTGTATATCGTCCGTTTTGAAGGGCTGACGATTTTTGAGACAAATCCAGATGTTTAAAATGATGGGAGATTTGCCAAGGATTTTTAGTTCAAACGAGCAGCTGAGGAGGGGTCACAGTTTCACAGTTCCAGACAGAGTTTCACAGTCTTCTGAAGCCATGGCGGATGCTGGGTATGGCCTTCGATTGACCACCTATGGCCGTCTATTGGTCACCTCAGATGTTGAGGCCCAAAACTTCATGCAAAACTTAGCCACTCCTCAAACCAGGAGAGAGGCTCGGAACGCACATTTCCATAGCATCCATAGGATCCTGGGCAGGATCGCGGGAATCGTGAGATCTCAGGGATGCAAGCTGCTCCCTATGTGCTTAGCCCTAGCTTTCGCTGTGGCCATGGCGGTGAGGAACCTCCAATTCATCAATGACCCGCCTCACCCAGAAATTTTCCAAAAATGGCTGCCGTGGTGGTGTGGGCCAGGCCTCACACCTGAGGCCTTGGTCTGGTCTGCTTGGACCCAGGCCATCATCCTCCCACTCCTTGGTGTCCTTGGCACGGCATCCTTTATCCTGCGCTTGGGAAGGTCAAAGAATTTCACGATGGAAATGATTAGCCTCCTGGCGTCCCTCTACATTTTCTTGCTACTCTCCTCGGTGGGGTGGTGTCATGGCCTCGCCGAGGTGCCGCCCACTGAGGAGCGGCAGCGCACGCTGATTGAAGCGTCTTGGTTCTGCCACGTAGGTCTCCTTTGGTTGACGTGGCAGAAGCTGCGCCTTCTTGGGTGGTGGAGGGCGCAATGGTCTTCTTGGACGATGTGGTTCTTTTGGTACGCGCTTCGCGTGTTGCCTTCCATTCTGAAACTGGCATGGACGCTTGTTTTGCTGAAACTGGGATGGACTCCGTGGATCGGGGCGGCAGTCACGATTGGCAGCTGGCTACTTCTGATCCTTGCCACGGGGTTGCAGGCATGGGCGTTATGGGCGGCGGCAGACGAAGCATTCCAATTTCGAGAGATTCGGAAGAACTGGGCAAGACAAGTTGATCGAGAGGTCTTCTTTCTTCGATGTGCTGCAGTTTTTAGCATTTGGGATTCACTCTCTATGCCACTAGCGGAGCATTTCATTGTTCCTATGATTGGCTTTGGCTGGCACCTCGCTTTGGATGCCTTTTTCATGCTTGTCACGATGCACGTACTTGGATATGAGGCCGACACTCTGGAAGATATAGGCGACATGGCAAGACTCCAGGGCAAGCGAATCGCTTTCCCAGGGAAGGTGAACCCAGAAGCCAAGGATTGCATCGTAAGCTTCCCGGGCAAGTATAACAAAGACCCTTGGCATCCCTTGGCCATAATCTGAGTTTCCCGTGATTTCCTCGAAAATGCGATGAATGATGCCATAGAATGTCATTCCAGGGAGTCCTGAAACTTGATTGCAGCTCCTGTCCTTTGACTCTGATATGCTTGTCAAGTCATGCAAGACGTTTGTTACAAGTGTCCCAAAAGCTCTGGTTAGGCTAAATTCTATCTATTAGGTTGTTTTCTGACTATTAGTTAATTTTTGTTTTTACCTGTCAGAATGATCAAATAACATTTTTCCTTTAGGTTATTTATATGAATAGCCTTTTTTTCTGTTTGTTGTTTTGATGAGTAAGCTATGTTGTTTTTTTCAAATTGTTTCTTTGAAAAACAGACTTTTTTATCAACAACCTCAAAGATGCTCAGCATTTTGTGAATACAATTGGAAGCAAAAAATCGAAGAATATCAAAACAGGCCACAAAAGAAAACAAACGTAACTTGATGTCTTTTTCAGGTTTAGGTTGAAAAAATGGTTCAAGATCTTTTGTGAGGCCTTGGGAGTTTCTGGATGCCCGTGGTTTCACTGGTAGTGATGCTTGGCTAGATCAAATACAAGAGCATCAGCCTAGGAATGGCACCTATGTTGGGGCTATCCTGCACATTTATGGCATGTGTATTTGATAGACCTGGTTGGAAGCTGTATTCGAAACCATGTCATGGGCCTTTGGTGGGCTTATGTTGGGTCACTTGGTGGCTCTGCTGGGCCTATTTTTGGCCTATGTTGAGCAAAAAGATGCCACCATTTGGGCTTATGTTCAGCCAATTTCAACCCAGACCTAAGAAAAATTAGGTCTGGGTTGAGGAAAACCGTCCTTTTTGGGCCATGCCCCAGCCATATTGGGCCTATCCTGTGCCAAGTTGGGGGTATGTTTGGCCTATCTTGCAGCAATTGGCACATCCACTGCTTGGGCTACACGTCGCAATTTTACATTGTATAAAGTTAAATTTGACATGACGCATTTTTTGGCTTAAAATGCGGCTGTCCAGCAACTTGCAAAGACTATTTTGTTTGGATGGGCAAACCAACAAGGGATGGAAACACAAAGCAACATATATATATATATATTCATTTATCTTTTTATTGATCTAGATCTATATGTTTATATCTATATGTAAACATGTGCTGCAACAATGGCAATGGAGAGTTTTTCTGGGTGCCAAACCAGCGAGGATGAAAAAAACTATCATGATTTTCAAGTTTTGTAAACAAAATACTTTGACTTAAAACCACGCAAGACCAAACACCCAAGATGATAAATCAACCATTAAAGAAAACAAAGGCTGAAAATATAAATTGCAAACTGCAGTGTTTTGGAAAATCAATGAAAAATCAATGGGATACATTTAAATTCATTGGTGATCATGGGTGTTCATGTGCGTTCATGGGTGCTCACCGGTGTTCATGTTTGTTTGATGTTTTTTTTTCCATCCATCCATTTATTGAGATAAACATAGGTTTTAAGAGGAGGTCCCTGAGTGATTGTTCAACCTTGGACTGGATTGTTTTTGTTTTTTTTGCAATACATGTATATAAAGGTTGGAGAACCCCAAGTGCTTGGCAAACCCTGGGTTTGAAAAACACTTTGCGAAATCACGTTAATGATGGGCAGCAACAATCTTATAAACCAAAACATGTCAAGGTTCGGATGGCCTTTCACTTGTAGTGGTAGGAACAAATCCATCAAGTGCTTGGTGCTTGGTGACGATTGGATGTATTTAAAGTTTCCTTTGGTATAAAATGCACGACACAAAATTGTTGTTTTTGCTTCATGCGCCGCCTTTGGAATGCAACAGCTGTGCCTTAGCGAACCTGACCCATCACTGAGGCGAGTCTCCAGCCTTGACATTTATATTCATGACAATTCATGACAAAACATCCAAACCCCAAGATTTGCCAATGACTTGGGATGATCAGCCTTTCTATTTCTGAAGGCAGTTAAACGCACATTTTACCTATAATTTGGGGCCCCCAGCCTTTAAATTTATTGAAAAGTAAGGCCAACCCAGAGCCAATGTATCACTAAAGGATTGTTTTTCCGGAATCTATGTTTGAGAAAAAGGCGTTGCAACCCACAGTCAGTCAATCACTTGGGCATTGCTGGATGTCAAATTTATGCCCTGAAAAAGTTGATCCAATTGTTTTGCATGACTTGGGGAGCTTCAGCCATCAATTTCATTGGCTTAAACATGGAAAAATCTATCCAAGGAAGTGTGTGCTTGACAGTTTTTTTTCTCAAAAATATATTTTCTTTGGGAACAACTGTTTTTTTTCAAAAACAACGGTATTTTTGAAAAAATGGCAAGTGTTTTTTGAAAACAACAATGTTTTTTTGAAAAAACACATGTTTTTGGTCAAATTGTAAGGTATCGAGGTGTAAGTTTGGTGTAAGTTTACATCAAACTTACACTTCATGGGGTGTAAGTTTACACCAAACTTACATCAAACTTACACTTGTGAAGTGTAAGTTTGATGTAAACTTACACCCTTGAAGTGTAAGTTTACTCCAAACTTACACTGGCAAGTGTAAGTTTACACTTGTAAATGTAAGTTTGATGTAAACTTACACTTGCCAGTGTAAGTTTGGAGTAAACTTACACTTCAAGGGTGTAAGTTTACATCAAACTTACACTTCACAAGTGTAAGTTTGATGTAAGTTAGTTTGGTGTAAACTTACACCCCATGAAGTGTGAGTTTCATGTAAACTTACACCAAACTTACACCTCAATACCTTACAATTCCCCACCTGCCAGGTGAGGGTTGTTAGATTTTATCAGAGCTGTTCTCCTCCTCCTCCGCCTCCTCTGCCTCCTCCGCCTCCATTGCCTCCTCCGCCTCCTCACCCGCCGCCTCCTCCTCGCAGTCCAGATCCCAGTGGGCACAGCCGGACCTCCACCGCGAGCTCCAGATCCCAGTGGGCACTGCCGGACCTCAACCGCGAGTTGCAGATCGCAGTGGGCACTGCCGGACCTCAACCGCGACTTCCAGGTCGCAGTGGGCACTGCCGGACCTCAACCGCGACTTCCAGATCGCAGTGGGCACTGCCGGACCTCAACGGGAAGAATGTGAGAAAAGATGTCAGATAGAATGTCAGAAGATATGTCAGATAGAATGCCAGAAAGAATGTCAGAAAGAATGTCAGAAGATATGCCAGACAGAATGTCAGAAGATATGCCAGAAAGAATGTCAGAAGATATGTCAGATAGAATGTCAGAAGATATGCCAGATAGAATGTCAGAAGATATGCCAGATAGAATGTCAGATAGAATGCCAGAAGATATGCCAGATACTGGTAGAATGCCAGAAGATTTGCCAGATAGAATGCCAGAAAATATGCCAGAACATATGCCAGAAGATATTCCAGATAGAATGCCAGAAGATATGTCAGATAGAATGCCAGAAGATTTGCCAGTAAGAAAATGTATAAATGTCACGGTGGGGATCACACGAAGTAAAGTAATTTGATCAAAAAGATGTTTTTTTTTTCAAAAAAACATTGTTGTTTTCAAAAAAACACTTGCCATTTTTTCAAAAATACCGTTGTTTTTGAAGAAAAAACAGTTTTTTCCAAAAAAAATGTATTTTTGAAAAAAAAACTGTCAAGCACACACTTCCTTGGATAGATTTTTCCAGGTTTAAACCAATGAAATTGATGGCTGAAGCGCCCCAAGTCATGCAAAACAATTGGATCAACTTTTTCAGGGCATAAATTTGACATCCAGCAATGCCCAAGTGATTGACTGACTGTGGGTTGCAACGCCTTTTTTTCAAACATAGATTCCGGAAAAACAATCCTTTAGTGATACATTGGCTCTGGGTTGGCCTTGCTTTTCAATAAATTTAAAAGCTGGGGACCCCAAATTATAGGCAAAATGTGCGTTTAACTGCCTTCAGAAATAGAAAGGCTGATCATCCCACGTCATTGGCAAATCTTGGGGTCTGGGGATTTTTTGGTGGACACTCCTTAGTGATGGGTCGGGGTCGCTAAGGCACAGTTGCTGCACTCCAAAGGCGGCGCATTAAGCAAAACCACCAGTTTTGTGTCCTGGATTTTTTCTACAACCAATCCTTGCAGAGCATTTGGTCAAATATGTTTTTGCCCACCACTTGTTTTTACAGGTAAAACCCCATCCAACCTGTGGTTTTTGTTTATAAAAATTATTGCCGCCCAGCGTTCACACAGATTTCACAAAATGCGTTTCTCTTGGTGTTCTCCAGCCTGTGGTTTATTACCAATCCCGTCCAAAGCTGAACAGTCACTCAGGGACCTCCATTTCAATCCCATTTTTTCAAGATCAAAAGATGGGTGGGGTTTTAAAAACAATCAAACAATCAAACAATCAAACAAACAAACAACCAAACAACCAAACAACCAAGCAAAAACAGATGAACACCAGTGAGCACCCATGAACGCACATGAAGCCCCAGGAGCACCCATGAATTCCAATGTATTCTGCGATTTTTCGTGAAATCCGTTTTTCCACACCAATGCAGCTTGCAAATTATATGGTCAACCTTTGTTTTCACAATTGTTGATTTACCATCTTGGGCGTTTGGTTTTGCACGTTTTTAATTCATGGAAGTTTTGTTTTAAACTAATGTTAAAAATAATGTTTGTTTCCCTCCATTCTGTGCTGGTTTGGCGCCCAGAAAAAACTGTCCATTGCCAGTGTTGCAGCACATGTCTATATGTAGATATACATGCATCGATTTTAAAAAAATACGTAAAGAGATAAAATGAAAGAAACAAATAAATAAATAGAAAAAACAAATCAATATGTAGAAAAACACATATATACACATACACATACATTGTTCTTTTGTTTCCATCTCCTGTTGGCCTGTTCCATCCAAACAAAATATTCCACTGATATATTTGCATGTTGCTGGACAGCCTCATTTTAAGCCAAAAATGCGTCATGTCAAATTTAACTTTATACAATGTAAAATTGCGACGTGTAGCCCAAGCAGTGGATGTGCCAATTGCTGCAAGATAGGCCAAACATACCCCCAACTTGGCACAGGATAGGCCCAATATGGCTGGGGCATGGCCCAAAAGGGCGGTTTTCCTCAACCCAGACCTAATTTTTCTTAGGTCTGGGTTGAAATTGGCTGAACATAAGCCCAAATGGCGGCATCTTTTTGCTCAACATAGGCCGAACATAGGCCCAGCAGAGCCACCAAGTGACCCAACATAAGCCCACCAAAGGCCCATGACATGGTTTCGAATACAGCTTCCACCCAAGTCTATCAAATACACATGCCAAAAATGTGCAGGATAGCCCCAACAGAGGTGCCATTCCTAGGCTGATGCTCTTGTATTTGATCTAGCCAAGCATCACTACCAGTGAAACCGCGGGCATCCAGAAACTCCCAAGGCTTCAAGATCTTGAACCATTTTTCAACCTAAACTTGAAAAAGACATCAAGTTACGCTTGTTTTCTTGTGTGACCTGTTTTGACATTCTTCGATTTTTTGCTTCCAATTATAGTCACAAAATGCTGAGCATCTTTGAGGTTGTTGATAAAAAAAGTCTGTTTTTCAAAGACAATTTGAAAAAAAAAACGTAGCTTTTTCATCAAAACAACAAACAGAAAAAAAGGCTATTCATATAAATAACCTAAAGAAAAAATGTTATTCATATAAATAACATATTTGGGCAAAAAGACAAACAACCTAATAGTCAAGAAATGAAATAGCCTAATAGATAGAAAATAACCTTCAAAATTGAAACAACCTAATAGTTAGAAATTAGCGTAACAGGAGCTTTTGGGGTTTTACTTTTTGGGATATTTTGGATGGCCGAGAGGGCGGCATTGAAGTTGCATGTGGCACGACCAGCATTTGTGGTTCCAGCATAGGTCGGCAGAGAGCAGCATGACGTTTATTGAGACACTCAGTGGTCCTTGATCCAAGTGCAACCCAAGCTAGGCAAAAAACATATCCTTGACATCATTGAAGTTTCTAAAAAACAATGTTTTTCTCCTGAGGTCCTCATCAAGTGCTCAGTAAATCACCGACAAATCTTTATTACATCCTCCAAAAACATCACTTGTTCCTGAAACGACCATGAAATCCTGATTTTATCTTCGAACCAAACATATTTTTGAACCAGGGGCATCATCATCATCATCATCCTCATCATCATTTTATTAGTTGAACAATTGTAGTTTCCTTCTTTACCGGCGAAACATCGTCATTTAATTTTCATTCTCCTAAAATCATTTTGAAACAATTTGAAACCTTCATTAACGCATCACGTTTTGAATGGCACATGCAGATTCGATAATATTTTTTCATCCTGCGCACAAAGTTTTCAGAATCAGGATGCGTGAGGAAATGATGATTTTGGTGATGTTCCAGAATGAGGATTAGATTGGGATTAAAAGGGGAAACATGGGTCACAATATGATGCTTTCATATGCTTTCCATTTTGTGGCTCGCAGAAATTCTCATAATAGTAGATATTTTAGAAGCCACAGGCTAGCGGCCACAAGTGAGTACCATTTTCTGGAGCGGATGCTGTTTGCTCAGCCGTGGCCGTTACCCAGAACACCCCAAAGTAAGTCTAAGCTGTAAACTGTGAAGGCTGTCGGGCTACATTATACTTTGAATCACCTTAAACTTTAAGTTTATACACACAAAAAACAACCCCATGGATGCCATCACCCTGCTTTAGTTTTGACATGTTTTGAAGTTTCCGGGAGATGTCGATCACATGCTGGAGCGCCAAGGAGTGGGATGATGCGGTTAAGGAAGCACAGGGACAGTCAAGCCTCTGCAGCTTGGCCTGTGTTTTCTTAACCGATAAGCAGAGCGGGCTCGGCGACCACGTTGAAGATCCTGAAGGATGCGGAAGTTGTTTCTGCCAAGCACTCTATGGGAACGTGGATCCAGCAGCCTACCTCAGCGCAGTCGAGGAGGACCTGACGGAACAGAAGTTGTTGTTCCAGAAAAGCGATGCTGAGGCCATGGGCCAGGTTCTCCTCATTCGGCAAGCAGAAAATGATGCTTCCTGGACCGCAAGGAAGAAAAAAGCACTCCTGAAAGCGGCCGACAAATGCAAGGAGAACCGCTACCGCGCGCCATGGGGGTGCCGTTGGTTTGCCGAGTGGAAAAAAAACGTGGACAAAGCCCGTAAGCAAGGGCAAAAGTTTCACGTTTTCTACTTTGAAGGGAAAATGGGATGTGGGAAAATGGCTTGGGAGGACAGGGCAGGGTTTGACAAGAATCGCATTGAATCGCAGAAGAAGCAACTAGCCAGAAAACATCCAACAAATCAAACAAGTACAATCTAGAAACATGTGTTTTGTTGATGCTTTGGCAATTTTGTCCCGACCAGAACAACCAGACAACCTTGCAGGAACTCAATGATGACACGAAACTGCAGGAGGTTCGCGATAGCACGGGCCTAGGCAAGTCGCAAACCGCAGAAGTCGCATGGTTAGATCGCTTGCGCATCCCCTACGAGGAGCACGATGTGGGCGACTTCTACAGATTTATTCAGCAACATCAGAACAACAATAGATGATGCCTAAGGCATCCGAGTTTCAGGAGTGATGCCCATAAGGGTCACGCGGGAAAACAGTTCCAAAAAGAGTGTTGAGGATGGAAGTGTGAGCCACAGTCTGATGATTCACACTCTAGTTTCATTCTTCAAGAACCACATAAAGACATCGGATGGCAAGAGTTCATGCAGGCCCAGCATATCACTTTAGTATCTTCAGTCTTTGTTGATTTGTGCCCACTTCTCCACCACGGGAGTTCGGGTCCGGGTGGTCAGAGCAGCATGGGATGGAGGATCATCCCGCTTAGTAGCGGGTTAATCCAAAAATCACTCCATTTATAGATGAGTCATATATCCGTTTGTATAAATACAATGTACAGACATAGCATATATCAATTATTAGACCTGGGATTTGTTAACTGAGGGTATTAGCCAATTACGATCCATGATATGATTTTCACCGTGGGTCACAGCACCAAGGCTGCGATCGCGCTAGACGCGACTTCTGTGACCGGAAGGGGTTGGTCCGTGTTGGTTCCCATCTTGGGGCCCTCACAAGACACCAGTTTCAGCAAACCACCTTTAGTAACGAATGGTATGCTAATGGATTGACTTGGCACGTGAATGAGGGCGTGAAATATGAGTTTTAGATGATTTCAATGGTTTTGTGGACATGGATGGCAAAGAATTGTGCCCAAGAAATCCAAGAAGCAGGGAGGCAAACATGTCGCTTCTCAGGAATATGATGTTCCAATATAGTGGTGGATCCAGCGCTTTTTGACACCGAAAGATCCGAAAAATCCATGGTTTTACTTCTTCAGCGGTACACCGTCTGACTGGATACCATCCAAATCCTGGGCCGATCTTTTGGGGAACAAAAAGGCAACATTTTGCCATCAGAACTGCTGTGAATGGCCCATTGTCACCTCAAACAAACCCACAGGAAGTGCACAACTGCGGTGCTTCAGAACTTCTTCTCACAAGGCCGGACCGGGGCTTCCCTTGCTGGGACCGGGGGGAAGTATGGCATGTCTTTGGTGATACAGTTTTTTTTGTAGCCGATCACAGATTTCACGTGTGTTGTTTAGCGGAATACGGCTCAGAGTGGCCATGGACTAAGCAAACTTTACGAGGTCTTGGTTTGGTTTGAGATAAACAACCACATGTACCAACAACCATCAATTTATCGCCCGTTTTCTTCCAAATTTCTAAATTAAGAGTCTTCGCCTAAGAATTGGAATCATGCCATCAATTTGTAATGGACTAGTGACTAGCACACATCAGTGGGTCGTTTCTTGGGGCAAGCAGGGGGTTGCATCATTGTTGCATCTTGTTACCTCATTTGACCCAGCTCTGTACAGCTCCTGAAGCCTTGAATCTTCATCCATCCTCCAGGAACCTTGATGTTGATCCGGCAGATGATCAGAGGGTTTTGGGATGGCGCGCCAAGCGGGTCGGTGCCAGATTTCAGCCGAAAAATTGGGAAGAACAGCTACACAACAAGTGGGAATTGGCGCTTAGACCGCCGTGCCACCAATCCAAAAATTTTTGGCGATTGTTTTCACACTTGGCTTCTTTATCATGCAGATTTGGGATGATTGAACCAGATCATGGGACAGGCTGTGAGCACCAACCTATAGAATTTAGATGAATTTAGACGTGTGTCGCGAATGCAAAAGCTGGCAGTCCTGAGGATTCTGATGACCACCGAAAGAAAGGGCGTGTCAAATCATCCTGCCACCTTTGCCTTCAGCACTAAGTACCAGATGATGCAACTCTTGCTCGTATATTTGAGACGCGGTTGCAGAAGCACAGTTTTTTGTGCGAGTACTGCTCTATATCAACTCAATATTACAGATGTTGACCGGCCTCCCGGAATTGAAAGATATTGGAAGCCTTGTTCCCTGTTGAAGTCTATGAAACTAAGGTGTTTGACATAGTCAGTTGACTTGGTCGGAACCGTGCAGCCATACTGTGCGCTAATCAAAGAGATATATATATATAATTATATATATATGGAACATACCCATCAATCCTTCGACCCAACTTGGTTCAACTTGGTTGTCATGGTTTGCGGCTGTCCCCTCGATTGTTCAAGACATGCTAAGATTTAATGACTGAGGGCCAAGAGCCTCAGGGGTATATCCCATGATTCTTGGGAACTCAGTGCAGTGGGGTTTTCTCAATGTTCCACCAATACTTTGAGGCCCATCCCTGCCATTGCCTACGTAATACCCAGCTGTGAAGGGCATGCCATATACTGCGCCCATTCTGTTCTCATTGTTGGTTAAATCCCATGTTTGATCGTTGATGATAGTTGATTTCCGCCATGGAACTTTACCGTGGAACATGGTGCCGGGTGCTTCTCATTGGCTCAGAGGAAGGTAGCTCAGCAATGCCATGATATGACCACAGGTGGTAGGGGCCTCAGTGCGCCCCAAATGTGTTCACAAATAGGCTGCGGTTGCCGAGATTTGCCGAGTGCCATGCAACGGCGTGGAACCACTTCGTCTACATGTGCCATTGTTTTTTCCCCCAAATGGGGGGATGTTATCAATCCGGTGAATATCCGGTGTATATAAATGAAGATTCCCATTATGGGATGGATGACCATACCGCCTATAATTGCCATGTTTGTCTCAGTATGGAGCGCGCCCCGAACTTGCTGTTTTAATGAGTTATGATATGACATGGGGGTTTGGGGTTCCATTTTGTGAGGCAGCCCCATGTTGTATCATGTAATATCATGTAATATCAATGGTCTAAATCTAACCATGTTTGTTTTCCACATTTCCCTAGGGCCCTAGGGTAAATGACTCCCTTTCAATTGATCAGTCCCGCAATTTCCAGCCCCAAGGTCATGGCACGCAGTGCCCGGGGCGACAAGTGCTCCTTGTGCGGCATGGACAGAGCTTGTGACCTGGATGCAACGGCGCCAGGTTTGGCGGCGAAATGGGTGACCAAGGGGCTAACTATGGATCTCTATATATATATCTCTATATTTGGGTAAAAACACGGTAAAAGAATTGGGTTTCCTGTTTTTTTCAGCAAACTAATCCATTGCATCTTGAAACATTGGAACATTCCAGTTATCTTTGCTGCTATGCCATAACTTAAGCTACTCATTTGCAGCAGCTATCAACTCCTTTTATGGTATACTTACCTATATTTGCGCAATATTTTGATATAATTTGACAATATATTTGCGCAAAATAACTTCATCGAATTATGACAGTGTATCCAGGTGTATGTTTATATTACAGTAAATGTGTATATCTATAAATATAAAAATCAATTTAAATATATATATATATATTATATTAAAGATATATTTATAGATACATCCGTATAATTAAGTAACTACATGTGGGGGATAAGCTTGGAACTATTCCATGCACGGGGCATTTGGGCCATGTGGGCCAGTTGTAGAAGGGCCCCCACGACGCGGTTCCTCGACGAAGGCACAACGCCCACCACGACGTCGACGAAGTTCCACGCGACCCGATGCTATCGGAGCTGGGCCATGCGCAGGCGGCGAGACGCTTGGCAGATGCCGAAACAGTGGAATTATTGGTATGGCATGTACACTTGGTATATAGTATATACACATCACTGCATGAGATGATATATCATATCATATATCTATCTATCTATCTATCTATCTATCCATCCATCCATCCATCCATCCATCCATCCACCCACCCATCCATCCATCCATCCATCCATCCATCCATCCATCCATCCATCCATCTACCCACATATACCCACATACATACTGTTAATATTATTGCAGGGGGGGTTGTGTGATGAGTGGTTTTATTTTTGCATACTGTTGTTTCTATTTGGAGATATTTATGGTCCTTTTTTTATGGGGGTATTCAACTATTGCATATTATTGTATACCACTCAGTCATATGGGATCATGAGGTTGATAAAAATTCTTCACAATCAGTGATAAATCATTAGTGTAAGGAACTTTGATATATTTGGGTATAGTTGGCACGCCTTGGGTAAACTTTGGTGGCAAACCTTTGATTGGAAGAAAGTGAGTCATTTTTTTGATACGTTGTGGTAAAGTTTACTGTCGATGCATCTTTATACAATCAATCTTCTGCCTTACATGATGAGGTATCCGGTGCTCAGCCGTTTTTGATATTTCAGGGTATCTAAGATTGGCATAAATTCAAACATCACAGGGAGTACCCAAAGGGGGGTATGTCAGATGACCTTTGTTAGAGGTAAGTTAAAATGGAACTTTGTGTAGGTCTAGAGTTGATTGGGGTCATGGGGCTGATTTTGCTTAGCATGCATAACTGACCGAAAATGCAACCTAGCTGGGTCGACTGATGAGTCAGTTGTTCCTTTTTCTGCCATAACTGGAGTATATTTGACTTTCAATTTGAAAGTAAACAAATATCTAACCACAACTGGTTTTCAAATAACCACCATTTTACTGACCAGCTCATTGTCTGCACGGTATCTAAGCTTGGCCACGTCCCAGGGTTCACTTCACATCGCCTTAGCCAAGGCCTGCGCAGTGTGCCTTTTGTGAGTGCTGGCTGCGAACTGCTGGTGGTGTCACCCTTGAGCTGCTTGGTGATGGACTGATGGGTTTGCTTGGTGGTTTCAGGTATCATTCTTCAATAGGACAGGGAAAGCTTAGGGGATTTCCATGGGACAAATTATTTCAACTCGGGAACATATTTGGGTTTGTTTGAAAATAGCGGAAAACCGCCCATCTATGTACTTTTGAATTTTCAGTGTCATTATATAAATGGCAATAACTGGGGGTTATACACCATTTTCATACGAACGCATATTTCAATTGTTTCTGCTGGGATGATGATCCCCGAATGCCTGCCGGGGGTTTCATCATGTTTGACCATGTCAAGGGAAAATGATGGGATAGAAATGGATAGACGGAACAAAAATATATTAACCAGGAAGTTCCAAAAGGATTCAATCGGCTGATTGTTTTCCAACAAAATCATGAGAATTTCAACGGTCTCGGGCATTTCACCGGCAAGTTCGATGCCCTTTTTGAACAGAGAGACTAAAAATTTGGCATGGACTAATGTAGGTTGATTACTAGTATGTTCCATCCTAGCTGGGAAGGATAATGAAAGAAACAACGACACAATTTTTGTAGTTGGCAACTGGTAGAATCTCCAGGATTGGTTTCAATATCCTCCTTTTTCGTGGCTATACTGATTGAATGAGAATGAAGGGATATGAGAATCGTCAACATTACCATGATACATGAGTGATGAGCAACTGACCACCAAAGCACTGATGAATTTTACCCATGTTCAACCCTATTTCCCAATTGCTCAAGTTCATTGTTTGGGGGGATTACTTAAAAATCATCATACCTCCATGAAGATCCACTCAAACTCTTGGATTTGAACATCAACAAAATCCTCGAAACATTAAACATCATCAAACAAAAATCCTCACAGAAATCCTCGAAAATCCTTGGTCCTCAGTTTTCCTCGGAAAAATTCGCCAAGGCCGCGCCATTCAGATGGCCTCGGCCGTCTTCGGGGAGCTGCCGATGTGCCGCACAGTGCTGACGCCGCTACACTCGGAGAGCGCCTTGGGTGGACCACGGCAGGACGGCTATTGAACCCACAAACCATTGGAAAAAATAAGGGTTTAACAGGGTTTAACCATGGAGTTAACAGAGTGGTGGGGGCAAATCCTCTGAGAAGCCTGGGGGAAAACAAGTATGAATGATGATGAACGCCCACCACTGGGTACATTAAATCCTTATTTAGACTTTAGACAAGAACGGATAGGAACCTTGCATATCACAATGGTAATTTAACTATGGAAATGGAAATCTACTGAGAACATGATGGGATATGTGTGCCTTTCTTGATTTGGTTGGTGAATGTAACTGATGTAAAACAGAAAATATTGGACCCATATTTAAAGGAACCAAAAATAGGAGTTTAACAATGTTTTACATATATACCACATTGGGAATGTAATTTTGAGATACCCTTCGGTAAAATAACAGTTTGTTATGGAAAATCACAATCTTTAAGAGGTAAATCAAACAACCAAATGGTCATTTTCAATAGCTATGTAAGGGCTATGTAAGGAGATATACCGTATACCGTATACCCCCAAAAATATGGCCTTACAGTATATATGGATATATGGTGCAGTAGCTCCATTTTGGATCCTGGAATTCCCCTTGAGTGGTGGGATATTTCCTGTACAGTGACTGGTGGGATGGCACCTTAAAATTTAACCCTCAATCATCAGTTTCCTGAAAACCACCATAAAATTGGGGTACCTACCAGTCTTGAGACACTCATCTCAACAAGAGATATATCCTTACCTTTTTTTTGGGTTATATTTTGGATTATTTTGGTTCAAGCCGTTTTATCCCAAAGGTGTTGGCTTTTACTACGCATTGTGATTGATTTTGGTTCATCCAGCCATCTTTAACAGGGTGGTGGTTGCCTGGATGAGACGCTGCGGCTGCGTTCCGAGATCGCGCGGATCAAAGCACAAGGCGCCGCGCTGGGTTTTCCTATAGGGCCTAGGGGACGAATCGCTTGGAGGATCACCACCTACAAAATTGTTTGCAAATGTGTATATATATATATAGAGATATTTATATATATATTGCAAAGTTATAGCTATAACCATAGTTATAATCCATGACACTTAGAAAATTGTTGGCAAATGGGTTCATATAACCCAGTTTTATTATTTTTTATATAGGATAAAATGGGATAAGCCACTTAATAAGTAGTGAACAGATGTGAATGGCCATAGTTGGTTCACCCATTTATAGATCGGACAACCCACGAAATGGGGAGACCAATCGGTCATGGGATGAACATCTGGAGTTTCCTTGAGGTTTCGAAGGTGTAAGCAGCTGACATGGATCGACATTGATTTATCACACATCATATGGGAAAAAGATGAAACAATATGAAATACTTCATTGCAATGGGCTGGTCGTATTTTCCACAAAGCCGACATTGGTCCTCAAAGAAGCTGCTGATGTCATGTTTTCAATGAAGCAACCATGGTTATTCCTCTGTAAACCTGCTGTGCCTGGTCTTGAAGTACCAGAACCAGGAAACACGCCACCAGTGTGTTTGCTATTTACCACTCTGAGTAGCTATTTACCACTCTGAGTAGCTTGGACATGCTTATACACAACCCTGCTGATGTATCAGATAGATTTAGGTTGGGTCGCAGCAAGACATAGCATAAGACAAGCAGTTTAGTTAGCACATGATCGACTAATTTATACTAATTTGGGGGAGTCCAGCGCCAAGAGGTGATATTCGTACCAAGCAGGTTCCGAGAATGTCCCTAAAATATCCTAAGGTCCTAAAGTACTATATATGATTTGAGCTTCAAACACCCCTTAGCGTTTTCTTTGAGCGCAAAAAAAGTTTCTGGGTCTGACTCTTCGCGTTCTCAGCCAAGTGGCTTTCCTTTCGTTGAAATGCATTGGTAGTCAAACATGAGGAAGACATGTTAATGGAGGTTTCCTACAATGGAGGTACGCCGAAATCATCTAAATAAGATCATTTTAGTATTGAAACCCATGGTTTTGGATCCACCTATTTTGAGAAACCCCAATGCAACCACCATATCGAGTAAGGACATCACCCGCAAAATTAATCAAAATTATGTACTTGCAGTTTTGGTTCCTCTTGGTAATGGAACATGGGATCGGAAAATCACCAGGAATAGGCACATCTACACCTGTTTTACTGTTGGAGGATGAAATTTGGTATCTAACCATTCGCTGTCCAATGTTTTTAGTGTTTGAATCCCCATCATGCTGCTGGCCCTCAGATATGTTCATTTTTTGCGAAATCCCAAATGTCATTGCGCAATTTTGTTGGTTAAATCATGTTAAATCATGTTAAATCATTATTGCCAGTAAAATCGCCATTCTTACCAGGTGAGAAGCTGGAGGGCGTGCAAGATGCCTTGAAAGGCTTCCAAGCAGCCAATGGAGTGCTGTGGTTCCATCAAGAAGCAGGACCCGGCGTTTCCGCTGAGTTGATGGTGGGGGATGCATTTTTCTTGGGAACGACTGGTGAGTGGTTGATGGGTGGATGCTTCATTTATTTGAACGCCTGTAATGTAAGAATATATACGGTACCGAATAATGAACATTTCATCTCCTGATCAGGGTATCTAAGATTTGCAATGTCCTGAGATGCAGCATGACAACCAGTCATTTGATGCCGGATCATGCTTTGAGGGCTTCTTAAGACTACATTTTGAGAATTGAAGATCTGAATGCTCCATGTGAAGGGCGTGGGGAATTGCATGACGAAGGGCCAAGAGCAAGGACCCCCGATTTGGGAATTTGAGGGGATGCAACATCATGTTGTCATGGTGGTTTAAAGATGTTTAAAGTAAAGATGTTGAAAAAGTGGAACAGTACGACCTCGTCCCAGACGACCTCATGTGTTTCCGCGTGTCGGTTGCTGAAATCTCTTTGGGCTTGCCAGAAAAACCTTGGTTGGGTAAAGAAGCTATTGGTTTTACCCAAAAATCTCTTCTCTCTACAATCTGCTCAGCTAAAAATGAGGTGTTATGTCATGTTTTGTCTATTTTCTCGGGGCAATGGTGGCATTGATCAAATGATAAACCAAACAATGAGTCCCTCAGTGTGACAATAGATGGGCGGTAACTCCGACGGGATGTGCCCCAGGAGCCCTGCTGATCCGCCCCATGGATGGCTCCGTCAGATCAAAGGGGCCCTATGGCCGTGGCAGAAATCGTAGCAGTTTTTTTTAGGTCCCAGAACCGGCCGGTTGGTGCCAGAGTTCAGTCAGAAATTCAGAAATGGAAAGAGAACAATGATGGAACCAACAAGTGGGAGTATCACGAACCATATGTTTGTTTGGGGGTGATTGTTTTCAAGCAAGTACTGTATCATTTATCACAGGGATTGGGGATGATTGACGTCGATGCTTGGAACAGGCTGTCCTCACCAACCTGTCAAGTTCGTTGGAACCGCTTTACCTGCGTGGAGCGAAATTCAAAATTAATGCCTCTAGAGACTAGGCGCGTGTCACCAAGAGGCTGGCTGCAAATGAAAAAGGCACCCGGAAGAACTGGCCGACTGCCATCCTTTGCCCATTGGAGCTGCAGCCAGATTCCAAGGCCCCACCAGGAAGAACGGCGGGAGTATCAGATGATTCAACCCTTGGCGCTTGGGCCAACATATCGATCGCCAGATGTTTGCCCATCCTATGTGGCATTTTGAATGGGAGCGTTGAAGCTCTACATCAATGTAGATGTTGAGAAGTACCCGGCAACTCAAAGTCTTGTTCCCAGTGGAAGTCTACAAAATTACGGTGTTACTGTAGGACCTTGGCATCCTTGACAACCCAAGGACTTAAGGACCAGCTATTACAAGAGGTTTTCAGAATTTTCAATATACGCATCGCCGCTGACTCAATTAGATACCACATTGACTGGCTTTCATCAAGGGTACAGTATGTCCGATATTGCCCCAGAACTATTGCATATCCTTCCGTCTCTTTGAACTGGGAATCTGCTAATATTGTGTAATGCGCAAATCTGACAAGTCACACAACCCCTGTGGGGCATGACTTCTTCAATGCAACGTATGCGGGCAATGGCTCAGAGGGACGGTAGGCACAGCAGCAATGCCATGGCACAGGATGTGGCAGGGAGCCTCAGTGTTCACTGGTCGTTTATTTTTTCGGTTCCCATCCCTGCTGTGCAACTGAAGACAATTTTTAAATATATTTAAATACTGTAAGTAGTCTAATTCTCGAATCTAACTTTAGAGTTGCCAACCTGGAGTTTCACTCATGGCCATACCCAACCCCCAGCCCAAATGTCTTGGATGCAAGAACCCAGTCCAAAACTGCATAAGTAATATAAGTATGGCTCAGAGGCCCGGGAGTGAATTCTGGGATACCTGCAATGATGAGGCCCATTCTGCTCACACCCCGAGGGAACTTGTGTGATCTTGTCTGTAATTCTAATCACATCGCATCATATTAAGTATCTATCTATATATATATATACACATATTATATCAATATACATATACATACATATACATATACATATACATATACATATACATATACACATACACACACATACACACATACACACACATACATACATACATACAAACAAACAAACATACATACATACATACATACATACATACACATAGATACATACATACATGCATACATACATAGTTACATACACATACACATACAAACATACGTACATACATACATACATACATGCGTACAGACATACAGACATACATACATACACATACATACATACATACAGACATACATACATACATACACACATACATACATACACACATACATAAATACATAAATACATACATGCATACATACATACATACATACATACACACATACATACATACATGCATACATACATACATACATAATTACATACATACATTCATAAATACATACATATACATACAAATACATACACATACATCTGCATCTACATCTACATCTACACCTACACCTACATCTACATCTACATCTACAAACATACATACACATACATACATACATACACATACACATACACATACATATACACATACACATACACATACACATACACATACATACACACAGGCATACATACATACAGACATACATACATACATACAGACATACATACATACATAGACATACATTTTGGTTGCGCGCAAAAAGGGCGATTAGGGTTTTAGTCTTCAGGAGGTCGAAATTGTTTTTTTTGTTTTTTTAGTCTATCGTACAAGGCGGGCCCCAACCTAAATGACGTTATTCACCAGTTTAGTACAAGTTTAGTACTACTAGTACTACTAGTACTACTAGTACTACTCGTACTACTCGTACTACTTTTACTACTAGTACTGCTAGTACTACTAGTACTACTACTTTTACTAATACTACTAGTACTACTATTACTACTAGTACTACTAGTACTACTAGTACTACTAGTACTGCTAGTGCTACTAGTACTACTACTACTAGTAATACTAGTACTACTAGTACTACTAGTACTACTAGTACTAGTAGTACTAGTACTAGTACTAGTACTACTACTACTACTACTACTAGTAGCACTAGTACTAGTATTTCGGGTACTAGTAATGATATTACTTTGACGATCACTAAAATTGTTCCTAGTTTGACTGCCCGTGCTTATTTTTTTGAAGTTGAAGAAGACTCCGGGAAAGGTCAGAAACAGGTCAGAAACACCAAGAAGGCAGCACTTGCCTAGCATCCAACCATTTACATTCGTTTTTTTGCAAGCATCCTCTTGAAGATAAGATACGGACTTGATCAGATTTAAAATATATATATATAAATATTATATTCGTTTACGATTGAGACCAGAACCATGCCAATAATTGACATGGCCGCGCGGATTCCGCGCGCGGATTCGTGCTGACGTTTTCGAACAGAAGGACATTCTAGTTAGCTTGGAGGAGCGCAAATGCAACAAAGGAAAGGTAAAGTCACTGCATTGCTTAGTTTGTTCATGTCACCTGCGCTCCTCCAAGCTAACTAGAATGTCCTTCTGACCTGAAAACATCAGCGCGAATCCGCGCGCGGAATCCGTGCGGCCATGTCAACTATTGGCATGGTTCTGGTCTCAATCGTAAACGAATATAATATATTTATATATATTTTAAATCTGATCAAGTCCGTATCTTATCTTCAAGAGGATGCTTGCAAAAAACGAATGTAAATGGTTGGATGCTAGGCAAGTGCTGCCTTTTTGGTGTTTCTGACCTGTTTCTGACCTGTTTCTGACCTTTCCCGGAGTCTTCTTCAACTTCAAAAAAATAAGCACGGGCAGTCAAACTAGGAACATTTTTAGTGATCGTAAAAGTAATATCATTACTAGTACCCGAAATACTAGTACTAGTGCTAGTAGTAGTAGTAGTAGTTGTTGTTGTTGTTGTAGTTGTAGTAGTAGTAGTAGTAATAGTAGTAGTAGTAGTAGTAGTAAAGGTAGTAGTACTAGTAGTAGTAGTAGTTGTTGTTGTTCTTGTTGTTGTTGTAGTAGTAGCAGCAGTAGCAGCAGTAGCAGCAGTAGCAGCAGTCGGAGTAGTAGTAGTAGTAGTAGTAGTAGTAGTAGTAGAAGTAGTAGTAATAGTAATAGTAGAAGTAGCAATGATAAGAGATGAGGTGGATGGATGGATGGATGGATGCTAGGCAAGTGCTGCCTTTTTGGTGTTTCTGACCTGTTTCTGACCTTTCCCGGAGTCTTCTTCAACTTCAAAAAAATAAGCACTGGCAGTCAAACTAGGAACTTTATTAGGGAAAAGGCTGAGGCTATTAAGCCACCTTGAATTTTAAAAAAAAACGAGGACATGTGAGAAACGAATTCGCCAGAAGGCGGGCCCCAAGCAGAATGCGAATTTCGACCGCTTTCGGGAACCAACATTTTGCAAACACCCCATATACGAACATATACATACATATACATACATATACATACATATACATGCATATACATACATATACATACATATACATACATATACATACATATACATACAAATACATACATATACATACATACATACATACATACAGACATACAGACATACAGACATACATACATATACATACATATGCATACATATACATATACATATACATACATATACATACATATACGTACATATACATACATATACATACATACACATACATATGCATATACATATACATATACATACATATACATACATATACATACATATACATACATACATATACATATACATACATATACATACATATACATACATATACATACATACATACATACACATACATACACATACATACATACACATACATACATACAGACACACATACATACAGGCACACATACATATACATACATATACATACATATACATACATATACATACATATTTGCATACATATACATACATATACATACATATACATACATTTACATACATATACATATACATGCATACATTTACATACATTTATATATACATAAATGTACATACATATACATTTATATACATACATATACATACATGAAGATACATATACATACATATACATACATATACATACATATACATACACATACATATACATACGTATACATACATATACATACATATACATACATATACATACATATACATACATATACATACATATACATGTGCATATACATATGCATATACATATACATATACATACATATACATACATATACATACATATACATACATGTACATACATATACATACATATACATACATATACATACATATACATACACATACATATATATATACATATATACATATACATACATATACATACATATACATACATATACATGCATATGCATACATATACATGCATATACATACATATACATACATATACATACATATACATACATATACATACATATACATACATACATATACATATACATATACATATACATACGCATACACATACACATACACATTCACATACACATACGTACATAGATGCATAGTTGCATAGATACATAGATACATAGATACATAGATACATAGATACATACATACACATACATATACATACATATACATACATATACATACATATACATGTACATACATATACGTACATACATATACATACATATACATACATATACATACATATGCATACATATACATACATAGGTACATACATACATACATACATACACATAGATACATACATACATGCATACATACATAGTTACATACACATACACATACATACATACGTACATGCATACATGCATACATGCATACATACAGACATACAGACATACATACACATACATACATTAATAACTTTAAACATTTTATTTTTTTGTCCTGTTATAACTTAGACTTATAACATATATAAAGTATATTTTCAATATTCAACATATATAACATTCTACCACTTTTCATTGGTACGTTTTAATACATATATGTTTATATATATAAACACACTTAGCGACATGATTACGTGTAGGTATGTAGGATTGCGGGTCCATGCAATGTTCAAGTCTTCGCCAAATGTTTGGGACACCTGAGGCCTTCTTCTGTCCTCCATGGCCCCGTTCGCATCCATTCATTGAATGAATCCATTGAAATGGCATTTAAGTGTTAAAAAACAATACATATTCATACATTTTCCCTGTTTCCATGATATTTCCCGTATTCTTGTTGGTAAAATCCCAATAAATCCCAGTCTGTTTGGTAGTTAGACCGCTCTTAAAAGCACGGCTCGCTGGAACGTTCCTCACGGCCCAAGGTCCCAGGGCTGAATGGGCGACCAGGATTTTTCAACGAGGGGCGAACAAAAAGTGCCATTGTTTTAAGGAGTAAACAAGGTCATCATGAAAAAAACATGAAATCATCAATGTGGGCTATGTTTGGAGAATTTTTATTGGTTGTTGGTGATTATTTATACTTACCAGACTTGTTGTGGCCTTTTGTATCCGTTTTTGAAGGGCTGACGATGTTTGAGACAAATCCGGATATTAGCATTTATATATATAATTATATATATATGGATTAAAATGATAGGAGATTTGCCAAGGATTTTTAGGTCAAACGTCCAAGCAGTTGAGAAGGGGTCACCGTTTCACAGTTCCAGACACAGTTTCACAGTGTTCCGAAGCCATGGCGGTTGATGGGTATAGCCTTCTATCAACCACCTCAGATGATGAGGCCCAAAACTTAGCCACACCCCAAACCTGGAGAGAGGCTTGGGAAGTACATTTCCATAGGATCGATAGGATCCTGGGCAGGATCGGGGGGATCCTGAGATCTCAGGAATGCAAGCTGCTCCTTGTGTGCTTAGTCCTAGCTCTCACTGTGTTCGTGGCGGTGTTTAACCTCCAAATCATCAATGGACTCATCAATGACCCGGCTCACCCAGAAATTGTCCACCAATGGCTGCCGTGGTTCTTTGGGCCAGGCCTCACACCTGAGGCCTTGGTCTGGTCTGCTTGGACCCAGGCCATCATCCTCCCACTCCTTGGTGCCCTTGGCACGGCATCCTGTATCCTGCGCTTGGGAAGGTCAAAGAATTTCACGATGGAAATTGCGAGCCTCATGGCGCCCCCCTGGATTTTCTCCCACCTCTTGTGGTGGGAGTATGAGTTCTTGAGAGGCCTCGAGGAGCCGCCCACTGAGGAGCGGCAGCGCGAGCTGATTGAATGGTCTTGGGGCGCCCACTTAGTTCTCCTTTGGTTGACGGCTGACAAGCTGCGACTTCTTGGGTGGTGGAGGGTGGCACCATGTTCTTCGCTGATGTGGCTGGTTTGGTTGGAGCCTCGCATGTTGGTGTGGCCTACCATGCTGAAACCGGGATGGACTCCGTGGATCGGGGCGGCAGTCGCGATTGGCAGCTGGCCATTTCTGATCCTTTCCACGGGGCTGCAGGCATGGGCATTGTGGACGGCGGCAGACGAAGCATCCCAATTTCGAGAGATTCGGAAGAACTGGGCAGAGCAAGTTGATGGAGAGGTCTTCTTTCTTCGATGGGCCGCAGTTCTTAGCACTTGGGATGCAGTCTATATGCCACTAGCGGAGCATTTCATTGTTCCTAAGGTTGGCTTTGCCTGGTACCTCGCTTTGGATGCCTTTTTCATGTTTTTCACGATTCACGTGCTTGGATATGCGGCCGAGACTCTGGAAGCAGTAGGCGACATGGCAAGACTCCAGGGCAAGCGAATCGCTTTCCCAGGGAAGGTGAACCCAGAAGCCGAGGATTGCATCGTAAGCTTCCCCGGCAAGTATAGCAAAGACCCTTGGCATCCCTTGGCCATACTGTGTTTTCCCCCCTTTTTTTCCTCCAAATTGAGATGTATGATGCCCTTAAAGAATGCCAGGCAGTTTGAACATTGAATGCAGGTCATGCCCTATGTGCTTTGAGCCGCATTCGAGAGGTTCGAAACTGGTGAAATCATGCAAACTGCTTGTTGCAAGTGTTATACTCTTGGGATCTCTTGGGATTGTTTGGGTGGGCGCAGATGGCGACATTGAAGTTGCATGTGCCACGAGCAACATGTTTCGGTTTTAGCATTGGTCGTCAGAGAGCAGCAGCGTGAGAGCAGCAGCGTGAGAGCAGCAGCGTGAAATTTAGTCAATTGTTAGTAGACACTCTCAAAGGTCCCACAGGCTAGCGGCGACAAGTGAGCACCATTTTCTGGAGCGGTTGCTGTTTGCTCAGCCGTGGCCGCCACCCAGAACACCCCAAAGTAAGTCTAAGTTGTAAACTGTGAAGGCTGCCGGGCTACATTATTAAGTTTATATACACAAAAAACAACCCCATGGATGCCATCACCTTGCTTTAGTTTTGACATGTTTTGAAGTTTCCGGGAGATGTCGATCACATGCTAGAGCACTAAGGAGTGGGATGATGCGGTTAAGGAAGCACAGGGACAGTCAAGCCTCTGCAGCTTGGCTTGTGTTTTCTTGACCAACAAGCAGAGCGGGCTCGGTGGCCACGCTGAAAATCCTGAAGGATGCGGAAGTTGTTTCTGCCAAGCACTCTATGGGAACGTGGATCCAGCAACCTACCTCAGCACAGTCGAGGAGGACCTGCCAGAACAAGAGTTGCTCTTCAAGAAAAGCGATGCTGAGGCGATGGGCCAGGTTCTCCTCATACGGCAAGAAGAAAGTGATGCTTCCTGGACCGCGAGGAAGAAAGAAGCACTCCTGAAAGCGGCCGCCAAATGCAAGGAGAACCACTACCGCGCGCCCTGGGGGTGCCGATGGTTTGCCGACTGGAAGGAGAATGTGGACAAAGCGCATCAGCAAGGGCAAAAGCTTCACGTTTTCTACTTTGAAGGGAAAGTGGGATGTGGTAAAATGGTCTGGGAGGACAGGGCAGGGTTTGACAAGAATCGCATTGAATCGCAGAAGAAGCAACTAGCCAAAAAACATCCAACAAGATCAAGCAAAATCTTAAAGTCCAAACTGAAACATGTTTTTTGTTGTTGCTTTGGCCAATTTGCCCCGACCAGAATAACCAGACAACCTTGCAGGACCTCAAAGATGAGACGAAACTGCAGGAGGTTCGCGATAGCACGGGCCTAGGCAAGTCGCAAACCGCAGAAGTCGCATGGTTAGATCGCTTGCGCATCCCCTATGAGGAGCACGATGTGGGTGACTTCTACAGATTTATTCTGCAACATCAGAACAACAATAGGTGATGCCTATAAGCCTATAAGCGTCACGCTGGAAAAAACAGTTTCAAAGAGTGTTGAGGATGGAAGTGTGAGCCACAGTCTGATGATTCTCATTCTAGTTTCATTCTTCAAGAGCCAAATAAAGACATTGGATGGCAAGAGTTCATGCAGGCCCAGCATGTCACTTTAAACATTAGCATCTTCAGTTTTTCTTGATTTGTGCCCATTTCTCCACCACGGGAGTTCGGGTCCGGGTGGTCAGAACGGCATGGGATGGAGGATCATCCCGCTTAGTAGCGGGTTAATCCAAAAATCATTCCATTTATAGATGAGTCGTATATCCGTTTGTATAAATATAATGTACAGACATAGCATATATCAATTATTAGATCTGGGATTTGTTAACTGAGGGTATTAGCCACTTACGATCCATGACATGATCCTCACCGTGGGTCACAGCACCAAGGCTGCGATCGCGCCGGATGCCACTTCTGCGGCCGGAAGGGGTTGGTCGTGGTTGTTCCGTGTTGGTTCCCATCTCGGGGCCCTCACAAGACACCAGTTTCAAGTAGCGAATGGTATGCTAATGGATTGACTTGGCACGTGAAAGAGGACGTTAAATATGAGTTTTATAATTGAATGTTTCAATTGTTTTGTGGACTTGGATGGCAAAGAATTGTGGCCCAAGAAATCCAAGAAGCAGGGAGGCAAACATGTCGCTTCTCAGGAACATGATCTTTCAATATAGTGGTGGATCTAGGCCTTTTTGACGCCCAAATCTTTGACGCCCAAAGATCCATTTACTTCTTCTTTAGTGGTAGACCGTCTGACGGGATACCATCCAAATCGGCCAGCCGATCTTTGGGGGAACAAAAAGGCAACATTTTGCCATCAGAACTGCTGTGAATGGCCCATTGTCACCTCAAACCCGCAGGAAGTGCACAACCGCGGTGCTTCAGAACTTCTCACAAGGCCGGACCGGGCCTTCCCTTGCAGGGACCGGGGGGTATGGCATGTCTTTGGTGATGCAGTTTTTGTTTGGTTGTGGCCGATCGCCGATTTCACGTGTGTTTTTTGGAATGCGGCCCAGAGTGGCCATGGACTAAGCAAACTTTGGTTTGACATAAATGACATAAACATCCACATGTACATACGCACATGTGCCAACAACCAGCAGTTTATCGCCCGTTTTCTTTTAAATTTCTAAATTAAGAGTCCGTCGCCTATGAATTGGAATCATGCCATCAGGTTGTGATGGACTAGCACACATCAGTGGGTCGTTTCTTGGGGCATCTTGTTACCTCATTTGACCCAGCTCTGTACAATTCCTGAAGCCTTGAATCTTGATCCTCCAGGAACCTTGATGTTGATCCGGCAGATGATCAGAGGGTTTTGGGATGGCGCTTGGCGGGTCGGTGCCAGATTTCAGCCGAAAAATTGGGAAGAACAGCTACACAACAAGTGGGAATTGTCGCTTTGACCGCCGTGCCACCAATCCAAAATTTTTTGGCGATTGTTTTCACAATTGGCTTTTTTATCATGCAGATTTGGGATGATTGAACCAGATCATGGGACAGGCTGTGAGCACCAACCTATAGAATTTAGATGAATTTAGACGTGTGTCGCGAATGCAAAAGCTGGCAGTCCTGAGGATTCTGATGACCACCGAAAGAAAGGCCGTGTCAAATCATCCTACCACCTTTGCCTTCAGCACTAAGTACCAGATGATTCAACTCTTGCTCGTACATTTGAGACGCGGTTGCAGAAGCATAGTTTTTTGTGTGGGAGTACTGCTCTATATCAACTCATATAGATGCTGACCGGCCTCCAGGAATTGGAAGATATTGGAAGCCTTGTTCCCTGTTGAAGTCTATGAAACTAAGGTGTTTGACATAGTCAGTTGACTTGGTAGGAGCCGTGCGGCCGCACTGTGCGCTAATCAAAGAGAGAGAGAGAGAGATATATATATATATAAATAATTATATATATATATATATATAAATAATTATATATATAATATATATATATAAATAATTATATATATATAATATATATAATATATATATATATTTATATATGGAACATACCCATTTATCCTTCGACCCAACTTGGTTCAACTTGGTTGTCATGGTTTCATGGTTTGCGGCTGTCCCCTCGATTGTTCAAGACATCTAAGATTTAACGAGGGCCAAGACCCTCAGAGGTATGTCCCATGATGCTCAGAGCAGCGGGGTTTTCTCAATGTTCCGCCAATACTTTCAGGCCCATCCCCGCCATTGCCTACGAAATACCCAGCTGTGAAGGGCATGCCATATACTGTGCCCATTCTGTTCCCATTGTTGGTTAAAACCCATGTTTGATAGTTGCTGATAGTTGATTTCCGCCATGGAACTTTACTTTACCGTGGAACATGGTGCCGGGTGCTTTTCATTGGCTCAGAGGAAGGTAGCTCAGCAATGCCATGATATGACCACAGGTGGTAGGGGCCTCAGTGCTCCCCAAATGGGGGAATGTTATCAATCCGGTGGATATAAATGAAGATTCCCATTATAGGATGGATGACCATACCGCCATTGCTATGTTTGTCTCAGTATGGGGCGCGCCCCGATTTGCTGTTCTAATGAGTTATGATATGCCATGGGGGTTTGGGGTTCCATTTTGTGAGACAGCCCCATGTTATATCATGTAATATCAATGGTCTAAATCTAACCATGGTTGTTTTCCACATATTGTATGTTTACACGGTTTACCCCAGGGTAAATGACTTTCTTGATGTATGGATCAGTCCCGCGATTTCCAGCCCCAAGGTCATGGCACGCAGTGCCCGGGGCGACAAGTGCTCCTTGTGCGGCATGGACAGAGCTTGTGACCTGGATGCAACGGCGCCAGGTTTGGCGGCGAAATGGATTACCAAGGGGCCAACTATGGATCTCTATATTTGGGTAAAAACATGGTAAAAGAATTGGGTTTCCTGCATTTTTTCAGCAAACTAATCCATTGCATCTTGAAACGTTCGAAAATTCCAGTTATCGTTGCTGCTATACCATATAATTTAAGCTAGTCGTTTGCAGCAGCTACCATTTATGTTATACTTACATATATTTGCGCAATATTTTGATATATCTTGGGAATATTCCATTCATTTGCCGTTTGGATGAGTAAACAAAATAACTTCATCGAATTATGACAGTGTATCCAGGTGTATGTTTATATTACAGTAAATGTGTATATCTAAAAATAAATAAACAAATAATATATATATATATATCATGTATCTTATAGATATTTTTAGGTACATGTATAATTAGGTAACTACATGTGGGGGATAAGTTTGGAACTATTCCATGCACGGGGCAGCCATGTGGGCCAGTTGTATAAGGGCCCCCACGACGCCCCGGTTCTCACCAGTTCTGCAGGCACAACGCCCACCACGACGTCGACGAAGTTCTGCGCGACCCGATGCTATCGGAGCTGGGCCATGCCCAGGCGGCGAGACGCTTGGCAGATGCCGAAACAGTGGAATTGGTATGGTATGTACACTTGGTATATACACATCACTGCATGACATATGATATATCATATCATCTATCTATCTATCTATCTATCTACCTACCTATCTACCTATCTATCTATCTATCTGTCTGTCTATCTATCCATCCATCCATCCATCTACCCACATACATACTGTTAATATTATTGCAGGGATGTTTTTTGTTTGATGATTGTTTTTATTTTTGCATACTGTTGTTTCTATTTGGAGATATTTATTGTCCTTTTTTTATGGGGGTATTCAACTATTGGCATATTATTGTATACTACTCAGTGATATGGGATCATGAGGTTGATAAAAATCCTTCACAATCATTGATAAATAATTAGTGTAAGGAACTTTGATATATTTGGGTATAGTTGGTACGCCTTGGGTAAACTTGGGTGGTAAGCCTTTGATTGGAATAAAGTCTAGTGGGTCATTTTTTGATATGTTGTGGTATAGTTTTACTGTCGATGCATCTTTATACAATCAACCTTCTGCCTTACATGATGAGGTATCCAGTGCTCAGCCCTTTTTGATACTTCAGGGTATCTAAGATTGGCATAAATTCAAACATCACAGGGAGTACCCAAAGGGGGGTATGTCAGATGACCTTTGTTAGAGGTAAGTTAAAATGGAACTTTGTGTAGGTCTAGAGTTGATTGGGGTCATGGGGCTCATTTTGCTTAGCCCGAAAATGCAACCTAGCTGGGTCGACTGATGAGTCAGTTGTTCTTTTTTCCCGCCATAACTGGAGTATATTTGACCTTTAATTTGAAAGTAAACAAATATCTAACCACAACTTGTTTTCAAATAACCACCATTTTACTGACCAGCTCATTGTCTGCACGGTATCTAAGCTTGGCCACGTCCCAGGGTTCACTTCACATCGCCTTAGCCAAGGCCTGCGCAGTGTGCCTTTTGTGAGTGCTGGCTGCGAACTGCTGGTGGTGTCACCCTTGAGCTGCTTGGTGATGGACTGATGGGTTTGCTTGGTTTCAGGTATCATTCTTCAATGGGACAGGGGAAGCTTAGGGGATTTCCATGGGACAAATAATTTCAACTCGGGAACATATTTTGGTTTGTTTGAAAATAGCGGAAAACCGCCTATGTACTTTTGAATTTTCATTGTCATTATATAAATGGCAATAACTGGGGGTTATACACCATTTTCATACGCACGCATATTTCAATTGTTTCCGCTGGGATGATGATCCCCCAATGCCGGGGGTTTCATCATGTTTGACCAGCCATATCAAGGGAAAATGATGGGATAGAAATGGATAGGCGGAACAAAAATATATTCACCAGGAAATTCCAAAAGGATTCAATCGGCTGATGGTTTTCCAACAAAATCATGAGAATTTCACCGGTCCCGGGCATTTCACCGACAAGTTCGATGCCCTTTTTGAACAGAAACTAAAAAATTGGCCTGGACTAATGTAGGTTGATTACTAGTATGATCCATCCTAGCTGGGAAGGATAATGAAAGAAACAACGACACAATTTTTGTAGTTGGCATGAACTTGAGCAATTGGAAAATTGGATTGAACATTGGTAAAATTCATCAGTTCTTTGGTGGTCAGTCGCTCATCACTCATGTATCATGGTAATGCTCACGGTTCTCATATCCCTTCATTCTCATTCAATCAGTATAGCCACGAAAAAGAAGGACATTGAAACCAATCCCGGAGATATTTAAAAATCATCATACCTCCATGCAGATCCACTAAATCTCTTGGATTTGAACATCAACAAAATCCTTTAAACATTAAACATGATCAACAAAAATCCTCACAGAAATCATCGAAAATCCTTCGGTCCTCAGTTTTCCTCGGAAAAAATTCGCCGAGGCCGCGCCATTCAGACGGCCTCGGCCGTCTTCGGGGAGCTGCCGATGTGCCGCACGGTGCTGACGCCGCTACACTCGGAGAGCGCCTTGGGTGACCCATGGAAGGATGGCTATTGAACCCACAAACCATGGCAAAACATAGGGATTTAACAGGATTTACTGGTTGGTGGTTTGGAACTTTTTTTTAGTTTTTCCCACATATTGGGCATAATCATCCCAACTGACTAATATTTTTCAGAGGGGTTGAAACCATCAACCAAGGAGTTAGGTAACAGAGTGGTGGGGGCAAATCCTCTGAGAAGCCTGGGCAAAAATAGGGAGAGAGAGAGGTGTTAACTGGTAACAAAAACAACATCTATTGAACCCCTGAGTGGCCCATGAGTCATTCCAGGGGGAAAACAAGGGTGCCCACCACTGGGTACATTAAATCCTTATTTAGACAAGAACGAATAGAAACCTTGCATACCACAATGGTGATTTAACTATGGAAATCTACTGAGAACATGATGGGATATGTGCGTAAACCTTGATTTGATCGGTGAATGTAACTGATGCTGATGTAAAACGGAGAATGTTGTAATAATAATAGGAATTTTACATATATATATATACCACATTGGGAATGTAATTTTGAGATACCCTCTGGTAAAATAACAGTGCGCTATGGAAAATCACAATCTTTAATAGGTAAATCAAACAATCAAACAATCAAATGGTCATTTTCAATAGTTATCTCACTATGTTAGCTTGCTAGAGGGTATATAATATATATTTAACCATTATTTGTCCATGGTTGTTGGCTATTTTCCATGATTGACCATTATTAACTATGATAATATGGAAAATAGATGATGGAACAATCAACTAGTATTAACAAGTATTAAAACGTTATCAACAAGTATTAAACCATTATTAACCATGATTAACCCATTATGAATCACTATTTAACCACTATTAATCACCGTTAATCACCATTCAACCACTATTAATCACCACTAAGCCACTATTAAAATGTATTAAACCCATTATTAACCAGTATTCAACCAGTATTAACAAGTATTAAACCATTATAAACCATTACTAAACCATTATTAACCAGTATAAACCAGTATTAAACCATTATTAACGATTGGTTTTTGGCTATTTAACCATATATCAGTCGTTACCGGCGAATCCCCAGGATGGTGCTCCATCGCTGACGAGGGTCGCTCGAAGTCGCTTGGATGGCGCTTGGACCGGGCTCACGTTGGGGCAGGGGGGTAGGTAAACTAAGGTGATTTATGGGAAATATATGGGAAATATATGGGAAATATAGGGAAATAATCCCTTCCTCCTAATACTAACCCCCCCCCCCTAATACAAAACACGGCAGGTAGTTTTTAGTATTAGGGGGGTATTTATTATTAGGGAACCAAATCGAAGTCATGTTAATTAATTAATTAAATTTCCTTATATAACGCAATTAAAATATTGCCAAAAATGGCAGTTCGAAGCTTACCCCTAATACTAAATTAAAACCCTTAATGCTGCTTAGCTGCTAAAAACTATTTTTTCCGATCTCAAGATCAATTAAATTTCTTTATATAACGCAATTAAAATATTGCCAAAAATGGCAGTTTGGCTTCCGAACTTACCCCTAATAAACTAAGATAAATTAAACCCTTAATTATCGGATATAATATATTATTATATGTATTCATTATACTAATTAATATATATGGACCAAATTAATTGGCTTCATCTTGGACATCCTCCATCCTCTTCTCCTCCTCTCCCTCCCTCTCTTCCTCTCATTCTCCTCTCCTCTCTCGTAACACACTTACTGCCTCCTAATTCCCTTTCCTCTAATACAGGGATATCCTATGCCTTCTGCCTCCATGTCCCTCCTTGCTCCTACTCCCACTGGGATCGTCATGACCCTTCCTGCCGTCTGGGGTCCTCCTATTTTTCTAAACTACTCTAATGGGGGCAGGGCGCAAAGGGATCCTCATCTTCCTTCCTTACTCCCTCTCCTCCTCCTTCCTCCTCTCCTTCCTCTAATAATACTAAAAACTATTTTTGTCCGATCTCAAAATCAATTAAATTTCCTTATATAACGCAATTAAAATACTGCCAAAAATGGCAGTTCGAAGCTTACCCCTAATACTAAATTAAAACCCTTAATGCTAAAAACTATTTTTTCCGATCTCAAAATCAATTAAATTTCCTTATATAACGCAATTAAAATATTGCCAAAAATGGCAGTTCGAAGCTTACCCCTAATATTAAATTAAAACCCTTAATGCTAAAAACTATTTTTTCCGATCTCAAAATCAATTAAATTTCCTTATATAACGCAATTAAAATATTGCCAAAAATGGCAGTTCGAAGCTTACCCCTAATACTAAATTAAAACCCTTAATACTAAAAACTAGCCCCCTAATACTAAACACCCCGGGATGAATTAGTTTTTAGTATTAGGGGGGAGAACCCACAAATGGTAGGTTGATTTTTGAATTGTTTTTTAAAGGGGATCAATTAAAAGTCAAATTGGCCAAACTGAAATTTTCGGAAATTGGAGATGGATGCCTGTTTTTAGTATTAGGGGGACGTTTAGTATTAGGAGGAAGGGATTATATGGGAATATAGGGAAATAATGGGTTTTAATGGGAATATATGGGAAATATATGGGAAATATATGGGAAATATAGGGAAACTATGGTGATTTATGGGAAATATATGATGTATGAAAGATACCCTCTGGTAAACTAACAGTTTGCTATTGAAAATGGCCATTCTGTTCGTGGATTTACCCATTCAAAATGGTGATTTTCCAGAGTTATGTTAGTTTACCAGAGGGTAGAAAGTGTGTAAAATAATGCGCACTTTGGGTAAAACAAAGATTGATTTTAAGGGTACTTTCAATACTTAAAGCAAAATGTAGAATTAGAATTATTTGGGTTGTATATTTCTTAATTATTGGGCAGTATAGACCTGTTAATCATTGAGTAGTATAAACCTGTTAATATTGTACACCCAATGATTAACAGATCTATACTACCCGTTTTTGGTGAAAGTGGGTACTGTTCATTATTGAGTTTACCACATTATTGATGTCAAGGCTTGTTTCATTTTATTTATCCAGTGACCACAATATTGATGATCCATCTATATACAATCCGATGTTTTACCCATCCTGTAATCAAACGCGGATGGTTGGAAAACCCTCCATTCATTGATGATCTTCCAAGCTACAGTATAAAAACTTGGTTGCGGGGCTTTACATGTTTTTCCATATTTTTCCATATTTCACTGTGATTTTACCGTATGATTTTCCCCTTTTGTAGAGAATCGCCCAGCCAGCCACGTTTGATAACCACTACAGGGTCATGTGGCGCGGACGAATGGCGAGGTCTGAATTGCTTCAGCTCTTTCCCTTCGTGGCATCGTGGGAGGTAAGCAGTGCCCAGTTTGTCCCTGGTGGTTGGTGGCTATAATGACATATAATCACCATATAATAGCTATTCATTGCCATTCATGGTAACATAATCTATATATATATAATATATAAATATAAATAATCATATGCATAATCTACATATCATAGTGTCACATTTAATACTATATAATGATGATTGTTGGTATGATAACATCTACAATTTCTTTATGTCATGATTTGTCATAATGGTGTGTGTGTGTGTTTTATTATGTTTTCCCTTTGTTTGGGGCCATGATTATCCAGAGTGACATTTCTTATGGGGGTGAAATTGATGGTTGATGAGTAGTTGATGGATTGAACTTGATTAGACCAACTGATTGGACGGGAAGACCTACATAAACAACGGTTTGGGAATGGCAGAGGTTTTGGGCACTGCGTGACGGGAGTCTGTTTGTGCTCTCTGTGATGTGTTAATTTCGAATTTTCTCCCAATCTAAACCTACTACCCTCTTGCAAACTAATATAGATGATCATAGAGATGTGGAGTTTACCCACCATGAATCGCACTTTCCAAACGGGCAACCATGGTTGTTTTCCCACATTTTCTGGTATGTTTACCCCAAAGAAATTGCCCAACTAAAAAACCATTACAGCTACAACCCTAGCCCATTAGTAGGTATCAGTGGGATATGTTGTAGCTAATGGGTTTTGAGTAGTTAAGAAATTAATAGTACCAACCCCACTAACAACAGTTATTATCAAGTCCATGTTTAGTGATTTCCTATATGAAATCACCAAGATCCAAGATCCACCAAGATCCCTCAACCACCGGTCACGCGTCATGTCTGCCAGGGCTTCGCCGAGCTGCCGGAAGACTGGACGCCCACCTGCCAGGAGGCGGCCTGGAAGACGGAGCGAGTCCCCGCCTTTCTGGTGCCCCACCGATGGAAAACGGCCAGGGAGTTCCGATAGAAATCGAGTTGAAAAACATCGGTTGATGATCGGTTGATGGCTTTTCTTGGGAATTACCATATGTTGAATTACTACTGTATACTGAATGTAGTTGAACACATATAGCCATCAACAAATAATGATCCCAAGTTGCGAGTCTTGTTTTTTGGCATCAGTCGCAGGTGGCGAGATGCTTCGTACTGGTAACTGAGTGCATTTATCAAGGGATACGATTGGTTTTCACGGTTTTCACTCAGTCACTGAACTATTTCTGGTTGGTGGTTTGGAACATGAATTTTATTTTTCCATATTTTTGGAATGTCATCATCCCAACTGACGAACTCATATTTTTCAGAGGGGTAGGTATACCACCAACCAGATTTACTGTAAATAGAAATCTCCTAGAAATCAATAGCTAGCTACAGACAAGATTCGGCCGAGCCAAGGATTGGTTGGCTGCGCAGCCGGAGCAACTCGGCTACAGACCACTCCAGCAATATCCAACAATGCCCTGAAAGAAGAGTGGAAACAATCACGTGCAACATATGATAAATCAATGTGTTTTGGGGATTTTTGGGGTACACTCTCTTTGGACAAGCCCGGATCTGAAATGAATATTCATCCCTTCCCCCCAACAATAAGCACACGCCCGGAAAGCCTGGTGGGAACTGGAGGAGTTGTATTGTTTTGTTCAGTTTAAGGTTTTCTTGATCTTGAGGAATGGGGTGGTAATGATCTGCGGCTTGTTGACGCTTTTCACGGGGGATAGGCATCCATTGGCTGAAAGGGATTCCCGTGGCCACGAAAATGGCCAAAAAGGGCCCCAAACTGAGATGATTTTCCCATGCAGAGATTATAGGGATTGATCTTCCATGCATTGCAGATATTGCCGGATCACCATGTAAGTTGATCCGCTCTATGCATCCGCTTAACAGATCGAGGTCCACCATGATTGAACACTCCACCCAGTCACAACTGCGCCAAGTTGGCGCAAATTTCAAAGAGAAACTGAGCTGACTGTAGAAAATAGAGTCAATTATATTCATAGGACCCCACAGGCAGAGTTCAGTATATAAAATTGTTTGGCCTTCTATAAGCTCACTATACTCCACATTCCTACATTTTCTCTGGCGGCTGAAGCTGCACCATGCCATGTGCGCTGGCGTCCAGCCCGCCGCTGCAACGGGTTACCATTCACAGCTGCGGGGCCATTGCAGCGGCGGTTGATGGCCATGGAGGTGGTGTCCCAGTAAATCGCTAAGTTGGTGAACACAACTCCATACAACTCCAGTTTCACTCTTGGATTTATACGGCTTTATGATATATCGAACTACTTCATGTTTTTTTCTGAACCAACCAACATCACTCAAAAGGCACCACCTTGTAGTGGCATCCCGTTGCGGGCAAGTGATCAAGAACGGTCTAGATGACACAGTTCAGATGGGATATTCGTTCTGAAAAGAGCTGGGAAATCTGGAAAATCTATGAACATCTTCGGGGAGTACTTGAAATGATTAGAAACTAAAGATTGAGTTCCTATGGGGTTGAACATGGACACAGTATATCTTTATCACCAAATATAACAGTTTAATTTATTGACCCCAAAGTTGGAGCGCTTTTCATGTTTCGGAAGCGGCCACATGGGGTGGCCTATGCCTACTCCATCACCAATCATACTATTTTATATGTTTGTTTTTTTTTGTCCTTGGGCTTTAGAAAACGTTTTGATTCAGAATTCAGACATGTTTAGATTCGGAGATCTATCTCAAGTACTCTGATGTGCGCCACGGTCAAAACAGGCGCGAGTTTCCCATGTTGGGGGATTGATGTGAGGATTGACATTCCATGATATACCCATTGTAAGGCTTCCCAATTTTGGATGGATAAGCCTCATACGCCACGTTCTGACCGTAAACCCTTCGCCATGCTTTGACCATAGCACATATAATTTCACATCATTACGTCTGAATACTAGTGATTGTTGTCATGATATCTTTCCCAAGCTATTCATCCATGACCATTTTGTCAATCCAAATGAGTTATTGTTATCGCTCATTGTTATATATGTTAATAGCAACATTGCCATTGTTGTTCCTTCCGGACCGCTGTCGGCGCGCACGGGGGACAGCGTGAAACTGCTTGTCAGGGTGTGTTTATGTTCATTTCGCTCACTGTAGCCAGTGTTTCGTGATGGTACGTTGAAGTTGTGCCCGTCAGTTAGAAGTTGTGCCCGTCAGTTAGAAGTTGTGCCCGTCAGTTAGAAGTTGTGCCCGTTAGTTGGCAGTTGTGCCCGCATGACATGTTATTATTTTTGGGTTGGGGAACAGGGGGGGTGGGGGGGTGGGGTGAAGAGGGGCCCTAGCGTCTACTTCAAGATCAGCTAAGGCGTCTTCCCCAATGACAGCACTTGTTTTACTCAGCCTGTTGCCGGTCTGTGCTTGTCTACAGGGTTACTCTATATTCCTCTTGAGCCTTGAAGGGCGCATATAAATGTGCTCAATACTCATGCATGTACCTATGTAGGTATTAGGTCGAAACAAAAACACAGGCACAAATTCAAAAGCAATGAGTAGAGCACTATGCCTTGCCGTACCCAATTGGTATTAAGAGTATCTTCCTGACTTCTCTACACAATGGCAAATAGCAAAAGAAACCGGAGTTACGCAGTGGCTTCGAATTGAAAAACACGTGAAAGCAGCGAATGTCCTAAGGACATGTCGAAAAGAACAGCGGATTCGCTAATTTTTCCAGTAGTGACCAATGGTGCTTCGCGCACGGTCTCTCCACAGGCAAAATGCCTCGCTCTACCGGTGAAAGTTCGAATTGAAAAGTAAGTTCGGGTTCGCAAGATTCAGAAATTCAGGTCATACGAAAAACAATTGACCAAATCACGAAATAAACGGAAATAGCGGATCTCCAAAGTTGCTCATTCAAGCAAACAATGGACTGAAATCGAAGTTGGTAAATTTTTGAAGTTCGCTCCATTCGGAGTGGTCTGCTCGCCGGATGATTCATGGAGATAAATGTATTTAGTATCTCTATTTACAAGAGTCTCTATTTTACATTAAATTGAAGTTCAGACACTTGTGGCATTATCTCTATCTAAAAGAGTATATGCCATTTGTGTGAAATAAGTTGAACGCACAGAAAAACTGCACACGGCTTCTCATGCTGTGTTATCTTCATTTAAAGAAGTATACACTCACTCATAGCCAAAAGCTTGATCTCCATGGTCTGGACGAAGAAGATGAGGATCCACCCCACTCTGTGTTGCCCTGATACGTCGATGCTTGATCTTCATATGCCTTTCTCTTTTTCTCCTTCTGTCTTTCCTTTCTTGTATCAGCATACTGCTTCTTCTTGTAGGCCTGTTTGTAATGATGTCGTTCATTCCATGACATATCAGAAGGATCAAGATGAATAAGAATTGGATTATGAGCATCGCGATCATTTGGGGCAACCATGAAGATGTTGTGATCACCATGTAAGCAAGTTTCATTTACCTTGAAGTAAAATTCACCCACATAGTTCATGTGATCTTCATCCTCAAAGTCTTCTGGGTGTTCCTCACACATCAAACGTGAATGACCCCACTCAACAACTGTTAACATACAACAATCACCTTTACCATTTGTCTTGTTCATGAGCTCGTCGGTGTATGTTGCTGTTGTAATGCCATCCAAGTGCGTTGCAAGAAACTCCAAGTCACGATAACTGCAAGAAATGAAATGCTTGACCCTGATTGGAGGGCAAGATGAATCAAAATACTTGCGCATGGCTTGTGTTGCAACACCTACCATTCTGTTGATCCAGAATTGGATAAGGCTGTGTTGGTGTGTAGGGACACCTGGAGATTTTGGTGTGCTGTAATAGCATGCCTTGTTTCCATCACCTGCGATGAAGTCAACTTGATATCTGGCACACTCAAAAGCCATAACAGCTAAGCACTCACCAACAATCCCAGCAGAGTCTGATGCATACTTCTGTCCGACGTGATAAAAGCACACACGTGTCATTCTCATCCTAGCTCTTGTCAAGTCAACAATCTCATCTGTATCTCGATCCTTTGTCTTCCCCAAGATACTTCAAAGATTGCCCATGAGACTTGTCGAACTCGTGTGTCGTTGTCATCTGTGTGATATCCAGCAATTTGCTTGATATAGCCATCCTTTCCAAGGCGAGCTGCCACCATCAAGTCATGATAGTCATTGAAGCAAGTTTTAAAGTCAACCTCGTTGAGTCTTTCTCTGTGAGGATACAATGAACCAGCGTCGCAATTCATGAAAAGATGTCCTCCAAAGTTCTTGATGACATTGATGAAGTAATTGTTGAACTGTGATTTGTTTTCATCAAATTTTTCATGATCCTCATCGATGGTGTAGTCAATGTGTGGAATGAATTGTTGAAATCTTTCTGTAACCGGGCATTTTTCAAATCTGTTTCTGCACCAGTTTCCCAAATTCCAAAACATTGCTGTTATCTGTGGAGAGGATCTGTATGGAAATTCAGCATCCTTGTACGTTGGGTCTGATAGGCCTCCACCTAAATACCTGTAAGCCAAGCTATGCAAGATCATACAGTAAGGCAAGACCTTGTGGTCCTCAACGTAATCTTGGAGTACCCTTGTGAGATTTCCAAAATCGTCATCAATCCTCTGTTCTGCTTCTTTTGAGGATCTTTCTGCCTTGTCTTGATGAAGAGGATGCATCCTAGGATCACTACAACCATATTCAATGCGCTGATTGAGTTCTTGTAATTCTAGTTGTGGATCCTGATCCTTGTGTCTGGCAATGTACTCAACCATCAACTGGTCATCTGTAAGATGGTACCAATAATCTTGATGTGGAGACATGGTCTTCCTGTACTTAACATGCCAAAACATGTGTCGATGCTTCGAAGACGCTGGATAACCTTTGTTGTAAAATCCTGCCCATTCACCATGGTAACCATCTGAAAAACAATCCTTCAATTTTCGAAAAACTGAATCATCTTCGTTTCCAGTGATATCTTGACCATAGTAAAGTCGAACTGCAGGTTTCACTTCAGGAGCTGTCTCATCATCTTGAATGTCTGTCTTCTTCTCCCCTGATTCCTCCTTTTCTGAGGAGCGTTCAGGTGGAGCTGATTCCTCTTTCTCTGAAGAGCCTTCAGCTGGGACATGTGGCTCCTGTGTGTCTTTCTCTTCTCCTTCTTCTTCGACAGCAATCTCCTCTTCTTCATCCTCTTCTTTCTCTTGTCGTTCTTCTGGTTTGACAAAACTGTCCTTGATCTTTTGTTGAACATTCTGATTGCACATACTGATCCACTTCAATGTACACTCAACCAATTTGTCATCATCAGTTTCCAAAATGATATGCTTGTCTTGAATGTTCAAACTTTCAATGGTATGCTTGTACTCAGGATCACCCGCGCCTGGTCTTTGAAGATCTGGAAGAGGAGTGTCTGGATCATCGTCCACCATATCAGGGTCCTCTGCTCCAAAGAAACTTTCTGCGCCAAGGTGTTCATTATCCTT